TTTTTATTTTTATTTTTTTATTTTATTTTTTTATTTTTATTTTCTTATTTATTTTTTTATTTTTCTATATTTTTTTTTTTTTTATTTTATTTTATTTTATTAAGGTTAGAAATCTAATCTTGAAAACATTTATAATAATAATTTTAATCTTTTTTAAAGTTTTTTTTTATTTTTAAATTTAATTTAATTTAATTTTTTAATTTATTTTATTTATTTTAGAAAAGTTATCTTTTAATGATTTAAATCATAATAATTAATTTAAATAATAAAACAAAAAGTTTAATAATTTTTCAAAATCTTAATTAGATAAATTTCATTAATAAAATGTTTAATTAAATATAGATTTATTTTAATATGAAATTAAAGATTAGATTAATTCGTGCAAATCATGTAATATAAATAAATAAAAATTATATATAAAATAATAGAATCAAATAAACCTTCAAAAAAAGAACATTCTCTTCGCCATTATGTATCTAAAATAAGTAAATAATAAATATTTCAATTTATAAATAATAAAAATACAAGCTTAATATAAAAAAATGATAATAAAATTAATATATTTTAATAATAGAACAAATAATTTAAAGGTTTATAAAGTAAATAAAATATTTTAAATAAACTATATTAAAAACATAATATTAAATTAAAAGCATATTAGTTTTTTAATTAAGAATACTAAAAGGTATTTAATTGGAGATAACAACAATAAATGCATTAAAAATATTAATAATAATATTATTAAGGACTAGACAGACATATTTAAAATCCAAATATAATCACATCTTTAGAAAAAAAAAGAATAGAAAAAACAAAAACAAAAAATAAATAGTTTAATCAAATTCAGCTAATAAAGCTGCAAACTAACATATCCCAATAATAATCCATTAAAAAGGATCCTAAAGTTGTAGAAATTTACAATTGTATGATTCAAATATAAATTTAAGTAAACATTAAATTAATAAATTAGATTAATAAAAAAGAAAAAAGAATAACGAAAATATAAACAACTTAAAGAAAAATCATAAAAACTTTAAATAAAATAAAAATGAATCATAATAATAATTTAAAAGAAATTCTTATAATATATAAAAAATTAACAAAAAAAAATAACAAAAATATTTTTTTTATTATAATAATGTATTATTAAAATTTAAAAAGTATGGAAAGGATATTATACAAGAAAAGTTATTAATGATTACTTGTAATATATTAAATAATTTACTTAAAATTAAAATTAAGAAATTAATAATTCTAATAAAAGTTTATAAAACTAAAATTTTTTTAATAGTGATTATTTCTAATAATAATTCTAATTTGAAAACTAAAAGCTCAAAAATTAAGTTTGCCAGTAATAATAAGATCTTCCTTAAAAATAATAGAATTTTATCTAATAATAAAAAAATTAGATTAATTCTTAAAAGAGCCCAGTTGATGAAGTTGCCTCTCAATAAAACTTAGATATTTAAATTGAAGATAATATTAATTTGTAAAAAGCAAAAGAAATAGCAGAAATATATTAAGGAAAATATAACTTAATGAAAGAAAATTAACTTAAAAGATGGAACGAATTAATATAAGAAGTTGAAAATTTATAAAAACAAAAAAATAGTTAAATAGATGAAGAATTTATACAAAAGTTACATAAGAAATATGAAATTAATAAATAAGATTTGATAAGAAACGATATAAAAGAAGATGAATTATGTTATTTTTTAATTATTTATTTTATAAAAAATAACGTTATTTTTTTTTGTATAAAAGAATTGTAATTGTCAAAAAAGTAATAGCATTTAGAAGAATAATTTAATAAAATAATGATAAAAAAAGAATCAATGAATGACTTAATAAAAATGAGAGAAGAAGCCATAGAATTTTAAAAAAATGCTTAAATAGGAATTATTAGTAAAATGTTAAATAATAATGTAAAATTTTAAATTAATAAATTAATATAAATTAAAAAATTATAACAAAAAGAAAGTATCTTATTAAACATACGAAGCAAAAAAAAAGGATATAGAATAATGGGTAAAAAATTAAGAAATTTAATTGAAAAAAAATCAACATTAAATTGAAAGAGGATGGGATATTTTTGCTTAAACTGTAAAATAGACAAAAAGAGATCTAGATTTTATGCAGAAGATAAAAAACATAGAAAGCTCTAAGCTAATAATATCATCAACTGAAGAGATAAATTTTAAAAAACTTCTTTCATTAAAAACAGATAGTGAATACAGTGAATATGAAATTAATAAACAAAGCTAAAGCATTAAAATAATAAATTCATATTTGATAAAAAGTAACGAATCAAAGCAAATAATTTCAAATAAAATTAACAAAGATAATAATTATTTAAATAATAGAAATAGTAGTGCTAGTATAGAAGATTAAGCTATTCCAAATAATAGCGAAGAAATAGAATTTGACGACATAAATTAATATTTAAGAAAAATCTAATAAACTTAATAAAAACTAAAAGCCAAAATCAATAGCTAAAAAGATATTTTTAATAATAAATCTTTGTAAGAACAACGTGTTGATTAAAAAGATGTACAATCTTAAGAATAAAATGAAAACAGTGATCAATTTCATTAATCTCCAGTTAGTAATATTAAATAAATTGATTTATAATAATAGATTAATTCTCAATAAAGTAATTATGATTTTGTATCATTATTAAATTCTTAGCATTGGGTTTTTATTTTTATATTTATATAATTTTATCAATATATATATATATATATATATTGGGTTTTTATTTTTTTTAATATCATTTAATCAATATATATGTTTTTTTAAAAAGATCTAATAATTTTGTTATTAATTAATTACTAAGATTATTGAGAATATTAATGAATGTAAATATTACAATGGAAATTTTATTCTTAATTTTTTTTATTTTTTAGAAAGCAGTTCAGAAAACAATTTAAAAATGGAATAAACAATAATTTAACCTCCTTTACATCCTTTAAATAATTATGCAAATGCAATGATGATAAATGAAGCTATTCCTTTAAACGAAACAAAGAAAAATGAAGAGAAATTAATTCCAATAGAATCTTGTGCAAATCTAAATAGTATAAAAGATTTTCTAATAGCATTGTCAGAATTTATAAAATGTAAAATAAAATAAAAAAAAATTAGAATTTTTTTTTTTAAAAAAAAAGAAAATTTTAAGGAAGAATTTTTATAAAAAATAAATATTCCTTTAGGAATCGAGCCTTAAGAATTTCTTAAAACCTTTAACATAACCGAAATTACAGAACCCCAAGATACTGAAATTTCGAATTCACCCATTTATCCATTAGTAAAATATATTTATGTATCAAAACCAGTAGTAAGTGAGGAGATATTTTTGACATTTAATGAATTATATTAAGTAAAAAAATATAATACATGTAGGAAAAAAAATTATAAAAAAATAGAGAATGTTAAGAAGTTAATACAGATAAAATAATAATGAAATATCTGAGGATTAATCGGAATCAGAAGACTTATTTAATTAATAGCCAGATATAGAAAAATATAATTTGAAGTTAATATTTGATTGTTTTAATGATTCTCTTGATTATATGCGTCCTTATGGACTATAAGGTAAACCTCTTCCTTGGGTATTAAACTTAAGAAAATTTGCTTATACATAAATATATGAATAATCAATTGAAAAAGCTTTAGGATTAGCAATTGCAAGAACTTTGAAATGGGGATCTTTTTTATGTGGTTTTATTCCGGAAAAATAGAATTTCCAAGTGGATAAGAAGAAGAAAATAACTAATATTTAAATTAAATTAAAGAAGATAGACTTGCATAAATGCTTGAAAACGAAGTTTTGGAAAATGAATATAAATGGCTTATGTATGAAGAAGAAGAAACTGATGTATAATTAGAAATATCTGATGATATTTTTCATTTTCTTATTGCTGAGTTTGCTTAATGGCTGGCATTTAAGAGTGAAGGAAAGTTAGAACTCATAAATTAATTTAAAATTTAAATTGGAAATAATAGTAGCAAGAAATATTCACATTAAAGCTTTAAATTAGAAGATATTGAAGATGATGAAGATTAAAGATAATTGCTTGATTATTGTGATATTAAATAAGTATTCACTAAGTAAAATCAAAAAAATGACTGTTGAATAAATTTTATATTAAATATTTGAATAAATTATTTAAAGTTTTTTTTTTATTTATTTTTTGTTTTAAAATAATAGTTATTTGAATATTTTATAAAAATTAATTAAAAAAAATTCAAAAATTAACACCAGGAACTTCAAATTATTATGAGAACTTTTAAATTTAATTTCTCAGTTAAACTATTTCCTATATATTTTAATGGTTTTACTTAACATAATTTTTGAAATCAGCAACTTTAGGTTCTACTTTTTTCATAATTTAAGGGATTATTTATACTGCATTATCGATAAACTCAACTACTTATTCAAAATCTTTTTCTAATAATCCTCTTGTAGTCATAGCAGGAGTACCTAATCTTATTCCGCTTGGTACTAATGCACTTTTATCATCAGGAACAGTATTTTTATTAGTATAAATATTTATATATTCCAAAATAATTTCAACTCTAGCTCCATCAGTATTTTTACTTCTCATATCTATTATAAAATATAAATATAAATATAAATATAAATATAAATATAAATATAAATATAAATATAAATATATAATATTAATATTTATATTTATATTAATATAAATTATTTATAATTTTAATACCTACTAAAACTAGATGGTTATCAGTCCCTCCGGAAACTAGTTTATAATTTTTTTTCAAAAATGCATTTGCTAAAGCCTTAGCATTTTTTAATGTTTGTTCTTAATATACTTTAAATTCTTTAGTTTAAGCTTATAAAAGTGCTACACTTAGAGCAGATATAGTATGATTATGAGGACCTTTATTTTATTTATAAATTTATTAATTGCTAATATTTATTTTTATATTTTTTTTTTTATAAAAACTAAACTCAATTAACAAAAAAATTAATAATTCTTTATTTTTTATTAATTGAGTATTAAAAATATATATAAAAATAAAAATATTTTATTTTTAAATAATATATATTATAATAAAAAAACCTCCTTATAAGCTTGGGTATAAAGATTTATTTATATGCTCATCAAGATCATACATAATTTTATTTCCTTTTTTATCAACTTTTCGTATTCCTTTTCTATAAAAAATCATACTACCTCTTGGACCTCTTAAACTTTTTTTTTTACATAAAGAACTTAACTTGTATATTAATTAAAAAAAACCTTTTATGGGTAGTAGTAGTTACAATATGAGAAAAACTAAAAGGGGAAGGAATAACATTAGCTGCCACTAAACCAGAAATATGAGCCATATCAGCGAGCAAATAAGCTCCGCAATCATCAGCTATTTTTAGCATTCTTTCGTAATCAATAAGTCTTGAATAAGAACTAGCTCCTGCAACGATAATCTTTGGGTTATATATTTTAGCTTATTATTCTAATTTATCATAATCTATTAATCCTGTTTTCTAAATAAAAAATATGTAAAAAATAAATTAAAAAACAAATAAATAATACTTCATTCACTTTATAAGGCTAAGATTCAAAGTATTATGAAATAAAAGATATTTTTTTTTATTTTGTTTAAAATCCATGAGACAGATGTCCTCCGTCAGGTAAGTCAAGTCCCATAATTCTATCGTGGGGTTACAATAAACCATTATAAACATTCATATTAGCTATTGCTCCTGAATATGACTGGACAGTACATCCCCATTCTTATGGATTTAAACGAAATGTCTCCAATGCTCTTTTTTAACATAATTATTCATTCTCGTTTACGAATTAGCAACCCATTTATTGTTTTTATTCCACTAAACCTTCATTATATTTATAATGCATACCACTACCTAATGCATCTAATACTGCTTATGAACAATGATTTTCAGATGCTATTAATGTTATACCTTATAATTGTCTTTTTTCTTCGTTCTTAATTATTTAGTATATTTCTTAGTCAGATTGCTCTAGGTTTTGTTTATTTAATGTATTTAAATATTTGACTGAAATTTATGAAATTCTGTTTATTTTTTAACAAAGTTTTAGCATTTTTATTATAAATAATATTATACTTATTCTCAATTTTTTATTTTTTCGATAATTTATCTTTATAAAATAAATTAGATTAGTAAAACAATATATTATATTTATATATATTTAATTTTTTTTAATTAAAAATTTATTTAAACAATACTTTATTTAAAAGATATTTTTTAGAATTAATATCCTTTTAATTGTTTTTTTAGATACAAATATATTTATTTTTAATAATTTATAATCTCTAGTTAAAAATATTTACAATAATAAATATTTTGAATTGATAAATTATTTTATAAATATGAATAAAACTTTAATAAAAAACAATTTTCTTTTATTAAATTAATTTTTCTCATATTTCTTCAAATAAGAAAAACTAATGACATTCATTAATATTTTTTCTATTAACATTATTTTTAAGGTTTACTATAATAAAAAAAATTAATTTTTTTATTAACTATTTGTATTAATATTAGGATTAAAAATATTAGATAAAATTAAGATTAAAAATATGATATTAGATATTTTTAATTTACAAAGTATACTATTTTAATAGCATAAAGAAATAAAATAATTTTTTACTATATATTTTTAAAGAAATTTTTTACAAAAAGAATTTTTTTATAATTAAATAAAAAATAAGATAAGTGTTTGTGAAAATAATTAGTGATTACTTTTGCAATTTTAAATTTCATTAAAATAAAAATAAAATAAAATAATAATAAATTAAAATAGGTTAACTATTCTAAAATTTTATATATTTTTATTTATTTAATTAAATAAGCATTATTAATTTTATTTTTTATATTTGTTTTTAATTGCTTTCAAACATGATCTTTTATTCAATACAATTATAAATAATAATTTTATTTTTTAATATTATTTTTGATATTAAATCATTATTATTACTATTAATAAATACTTAATTTTATTCATTTTATTATAAATTATCTTAAAATAAAAATATAATTATATTATTTAATCATGTAACATTTTAAAATGGCCAAAAATTAAATAAACTAGTTAAATGATTGTTTAATTAAAAATTTTTTGTATTTAAATTTAAAACAGGTAATAATATTTAAATTTGTAAGAAATTATCTCAATAATTTAATAATAATAAAGATTTTATAACTCTTAAAACTTTAAAACATTAGTAAACTATCATAAATAAACATTATCTTAGAGATAACAAAAAATCATAAAAATATTTATTATCTAGTGTGAAATATGAAATATAATGATTTAATGTAAATGTTATATAAGTTTTAATCATTTGGTATAAATATAATATCTATTTTTAAATAATTTTAAAATTTATAAATAGATATTTGTAATATGATAGTATTTAATAAAATAATATAATATTATATTTTTTAAACTTATTTTTTTAATTTAATATATATTAATTAAATGATATATCATATAATGTATTGTTTGATTTTTACCAATAATAATTTTCTATTAAATTTTTAGAGAAAATCAGAAAATCTAAAATAGTTAAAAAATATAGAAATTTAATTAAAATAAGAATTAATAATAAAATTATATATAAATAGCTGTATTTTATTTATTTTTGTTATGTTTTTTTTTTTTCTAAATATTAAAATAATAATTTATTATTTAAGATTAACTATCAGCCATAATTTTTCATTCTAACTTTCATTAAGAAAATATATAATATATATTTAAATAAATTTTATACAATTATTTAAAAAAAAAATAATACTATTTTTTTGAACAAAATAAAAGTAAATTTTAAAATATTGTATAAAAAAAATTTTATAAATCAAACTATTTTTAATATAATGATAAATATTCTAATCAAAAAGAATTAGACTAACCTAATATATAACAATAAAAAGTATTTAAAACATTGTAAGTAAAATTGAAATACTAGAATTCATTAAGTAAACAAAATATAAATATACCACAAAACCAAAAGTTTACATTTTATAAAATATTATTTGAGCGAAACTATTTAATATAAAAGACGACTCATAATTTTTAAAAAATATAGTAAAAATTGATAATAAAAATGATTATATTTAGACTTATATTTATTACATAAAAATCTTAATATTAAAAAATTTATTTTTGGTATTATTTAAAAAAATATAAAAAAATAAATATATTTCATAAGAAATTATTTTTTTAATTAAATTATAAAAAATTATAAAAAACATTTTTTTATATTATTTTCACTGAAAATAAAATAAAATTATATATGAAAGAGAATTTTTGAATGGTTACCTGATTGCCATTGTTATATGTAAAATGTTGGAAATTATTAAAAAAAATATATAATTTAATTATTCATTAAAATATAATTATATTTTTTAATTTAATTTTTAAGGTATATTATAATTTTATTAATTTTTTAAGAATTTGATTTATATTTGAGATAATAAGTAAATAAAAATGAAGAAATTTAATAAATCAAATAATAGACAACAAGACAACAAGTAATTTAAATACTAATCTTTAAAATAAAAATAATGATATAATTTATAAACATTAAAATGTAATAAAAAATAATTAGATAATGAAAAGAATTTGTATAAAAAATCATAAATTAAAAATGATAAATTATGTTTAAATTCATCTTGACATCATACTAAAAAATACAAAATTAGCTTATATTATAATTATATAAAAAAGAAAAAACAAGTAATATCAAAATTACGAAGAATTATTTATAAAATTTATCGAAATATAAAAAAAATTGCTGATAATAAATTATTTAAGAGTTATTTTTAAAATTTGTTTGATGAAAATTGAAAACAAAAATAAATAAAAAAAAAATTAAATATTTTTTTATTTTTTTTAAATAGCAAATCTTCATTATTTTACTGATACTTTAAAAGCAGCAACTCCAGTTAATTCTCTTGCTGCAACTAAAGAATTAATATCATAAGTACCTTCGTATGTGTATAAAGCTTCAATGTCAGCTAAAGCTTTCATTACATAATTATCAATAATAATTCCATTTCCTCCGAACATTTCTCTACCTAATCTGGCAATTTCCCGAGTTTTTGAAGTTGTAAAAGCTTTACATAATGTTGCTTGACCTAATGTTGCTTTTCCTTAATCATAAATAGTAGAAACTCTCCAACACATTAAAAGAATGGATTAGCAATATCCCATTATTCTTACTAACTTTTCTTGTTATAATTAAAAACTAGAAACGGGTTTTCCAAACTATTTTCTTTCACTAATGTATTTAATTACATGATCATAAACACCAACAGCAATACCAGCAGCTAACCAACAAACCAAAATTCTGGAATGTAATAGAATTTTAGATGTTCCTTTTGAAAAATCAGTTGCTTTCACTAAATAGTTTTCTTTAGGAATAAATACATTTTAGAAATTTAATTGACAATTCTGGACTATTCGTAGAGCTAATTTATGTTTTATTACTTCTGTATGAACTCCTGGAGTTTTCAAGTTTAATAAAAAGCCTTATATCTTATTATTATCTTCTATATTTCGTGCCCATACTACCATTATATCTCTGTTGCCGTTTCCAATCCATCTTTTATCTCCATTTAATACCCATCCATCTTTTCTTTTTTAATTTTTTTTTTTTTTTTTTTTTTACCTTTTGTCGATTTAACTGTAGTTTATATTGATGTTGCATCACTTCCATTTTTAAATTCTGTTAATCCCCATCCTCCTGTAAGTTCTAAATCTCTCATTAATGGTAAATATTTATCTTTTTATTCTTGACTTCCTAATTAATTTATTGTAGACATTAAAAGTCCATGTTAGACAATTACAAATGTTGCCAAGCCAGGATCACATCTTGATAATTCTAAATACAAAACCCCTTAAGCTAATATTGAAGAACTATTGCCATAAGGCTTATCTGTTAAATTTTTTAATAATTATATTTCTTTTAACTTTGGAATATATTCTTCAGGAAATTCTGCACTTTCTACATATTCATTTATTGTCGGAGCTATGTTAAGCTGAAGAAATTCTCTTAGTTTTAGCCTGAAATCATTATCTTCTTTATTCAATAATTATTAAAAGTTCAAATAGTCAACTGCTGAATCTATATATGTTGCTTTTTAAGTAAATTAATTTTTATAATCTGCTAAACGAGACATTTTATTATTTTCCAGTTTTTACTTTTTTATTAATTTTTTTTCTTATTTAATTTAAATAATATATATTGCTTAATCATATTATTTTTATAATTTTTTTATAATTTTTTTTATATAAAATAATATAAAGAAAATGTCATGTCACCTTTTTTTTCATTGGAAAAGTTTTTATTAAAAAATACAAAAAAAAATATGAACATATAATATAAATAATATATAATTTTATATTAATTATATTGGTTGCATATTTTTATTTATTAACATCATATCTTTTTAAAAAATTTAGTAAACGCATATTGCAATATATATATAATATCAAATATAATTTTTATTTTATTATTTATATGATAAAAATATTATAAATTATCATAAAATATTATTTAGTTTTAAATAATTTTTTCATATATATATATAAATGTTAGGACTATATTAAATTAGTTAATTAGTTATTTTTAAATCAAACTATAATTTTTGTTATCTTTGTCTTATAAAATTTTTAGAAGCCAATGGATTTCTTAAATTTCTAAGATTACTTATTTTATTTTAAACAAATCTTAATTAATAACATAAAAAAGGTGATATAAAATAGATAAGACTTTTTATTTTGAGTTTTAAAAAAAGTTAGAAAAAAACTAAATACAAGTAAGGAGTATATAAAAATAAGTCTATAAATAAAGCTTTTAATTAAACTTTTTTTATAGTAAATTCGAAACTATGTAAATAAAAAATTTATTTTAAAAAAACAATAATATATTATATTACTTCTTTTGCGATATAAACCAAAGAGATTCAAATTTTTTATTGTAATGTCCTAAAATAGGATATATGAAAACATGGAAAGATAAAAAAAATTGGAATCTCAGTCGAAAATTTTATGCATTAAAAAAATATAAGTTTTAATAAAAATTTAATAACTTTAAGTTTTTAAATAAAACATTAATATACTTTATAAAAATATCCATATATATTTTTATTTTAGCTCTTAATAAACTGCTTATGAATAATATTATATCATATTTCACTTAATTTATATAATTATTCTGTTAAAATTCTTTGTAAATCCATATATTTTTATATATTTTGTATTTATATTTTATTTATGGTGTATTATTTCAAAATGATTCTTTTAATTTTTTTTTAAATTTTCTAATTTTGCCTTTAAAAAATTATATTAATTATAATTTTAACAAAAAGGATTGTCATAAATTTATTGAGTAAATCACAATAATATATATTTAATCGCAAATAATACATATCTTAATTATATATTAAAATTTAAAAAGATATAAATTATCCTATTATATTTGACGATTGAAATAGATAAATAAAAAAAAACTTAAATTGTAAAAATATTTTTAAGCAATTATTATTTTTTATTTAAAAAAAAAATAGAACTTATATGCTCTAACATATAATTCTTTGTAATTTGCATTAAATTTTTTATTTCGTATATAATTTATATTATTAAAAAAAAAGTTTTATAATTAAATAAGAAATATTGAAATTAATAATCAAACTAAAATAAAGGCTATATTTATTAAATTTGTAAATATTCTTTTAATATATCAACTAAATATATATAAATCATTATATTATCAAATTATTTATATACCATTAAAATTATAGATATGTTTTTAAATATTTTCTTTATAGTAAAAATTAGATTTGATTAGAAAATAGTAAAGTATTAAATTATATGGCTCATAAAGATTGATCGAATTTTTAAAAGTGGTTTATTAAGATATTACTATTATTAAAAAGCCAAAAAAAAATAATAAAAAAAAAAGTGAATATAAATTATTATTGTTTTTTAAGATTGAATTTTATTTTTATATATATTTATGAACTTATAATATTAAATTAATATATAATAATATTAACATATTTAAGAAATAGGAATTTCGTTTAAATATAATTAATAATTTATTCTTTTTATACATATATTTTGTTTTAACAAATCTGATTATTTATCTTTAATTAATTTATTTTAAATTATTTCCTATTTTTATATAAACTTAAAGGTTAAAATTTTTAAATAAAATATTTTTTTATTTTAATTATAAATTAAATTTTTAAAACATAATTATCTAATAAAATTATGCATTATCTAATAGTAATTTAAATATAATAGATAAAATCATTATTATTCGCCTTACAAATACACAGGATTATATCCATACTTTGGATTTTTTATTTACTAAGTTGCCTCATTATATAGTTATTTTAATCTTTTAACTCTTTCATTATTATAAAGAATTTTCTCTGTATACTCAGCTCTTTCACATTCAAAAGCTTTTTCTTTAACAAGGAGTGCTTTTTCTAAAACAGTGAATCTCTTTTGAGCTTTTTTTAATTCTTTAATTTCTTTTTCTTTTTAATCTAATTTTTCTTTGTAATAGCTTACCAAATAAGGATTATTTTCATTATTAACTTCAAATGCCCATTTTTTATAATTTTCCTATTCTCTTTCTTTTTTTAATTTTTCGAATTCTACCTAAAATTCTTCAATGGTTTTTTAAAGTTTTTTATTTTCTTATTCTTTTTATTAAATTTAAATTTTCAATCTACTTATTTCATAAGAATACTTTTGTTCCAATAAATCTTTTTATTTATTAGTTTACATTACTTAATGAAATAATTTTTTTCTTTCCATATTAAATGCTTCATCAGGTTACCTAACCAAAGATTTTTTTAAAAGGCTGAGTTTATCCTAATCTATAGAAGCTTAAAATACTTATATTTATGGCTAGTTTTTTAACATATTTTATTGTTAATTTTCTGGTGAAAGAAAATTGAAAGAAACTATTGTTTTGGCATCGTTTGGTAAAAATTAAGATTTTGAATTTATTATTTGCATTTATTGTTAATTAACTTATGTTTCTTCTTGTTACTATTATATCCAATTATTTTTATCGATATTAATTAAGTTATTTTATTAAATTTTTTTTTTAGATGATTTTTATTATTCCAATTCTTTTTTTAATTAATTAATTTCTTATTCTTTTTGCTTAAGTTTATTTGAGTTTTCTTTTCTTAATAATTATGTTTCTTACCTAAATTTCTCCAAATCTTCTTCACTTTTTTATATTTAAGATTTCAAACTTTCCATTTTCACTTGCATACATTCTACTTAAATTTTAATTTTTTCTTCATTACGCATTCCTAATTTTATTTCTTTTTCGAGTTTTAGTAATACTTCATCATATTAACCTTATAAAGATTCATCTCTTTTATTCAATTTTGTTAAAGTTTCTTGCGTTATTTTGTATATATTTTGCATTATTTTTGATAAATTTTCTACTATCATTTATGGTTAAGCTTTAAGTTATTCGAATTCATATTCTGTTAATATTTGTTCTTACTATTTATTATATGTTTATGTTGGTTGTTACGTATTTCCATTATATTATAATAGACCTTTTTTAAGAACTTATTGATAAGTATCAAGTAATATACTAACCACTTTTTCGTATTTATATTTTAATTTTATGTAAGGTTGACTTTGTAAAATTATGTATTCTTACGTTTCGTTTTCATATAAATCTAATTGTTTTTCAGTCATTTTATTTTAATTTATTAACTTTAAAAGTGTTTATTTTATTAATTTTATTTTAAATAAGAAAACTTTTAAAGTGAGTTATATAAATAATTTTAATATTTTATTTTATAATAATAAAATCATTAACTTTGAAAAGGAATTTTGATGGAAAAAATTATATATATACTAGAAATTTTATGACCTATATATATTTATATTAAATTTTAACTAATATTTTTTCTTTAAATTAAAAATATTTATTAATTTTTTGATTTCGTTAAATTTATTAACTTTTATAATTTCGGAATTTTTTCATTTTGTTGAAATTTATTTGAACTAAAAAGAATATTATAAATTGCAGAAAAAAAAAAAATTATGAGAATTTACATACCAACCTTACATAAGTCAGTTGTTAAAAAACATTATTTTTATGAAATTATTAAGTGAGTTATTAACTTTTTATCATTTTTTAATTCTATGTTTATTATTTTTATAAATGCTTATTATAGAAAAACATTATTTTGCTTAATTTCTTTATATTATATAGAGATATGTATATTTTTTAAAAATAAAAATTTATAATTTATCTAAAAATATTTACTAAAAAATTAATAATTTTCTTTTATAAATTAATTAAGATTTTGTTCATTTGTTTCAGGCGTTTCAAGTTTGATATTTTCAAAAAAATTGTAAGAAATCAATAAAAACATAATCTTTTGATCATCATAATTTAAATTATTTTATAATAATATCTAAAAAAAAAAATGCGTAATTAATTTTTTTTTCAAACATAAACCAAATATTATTTTTATTAATTTAATTTCAATATAAAATGAATTTTAATCAATTTTATTTGAGGAAAATAATATCAAATTTAATATTAAAATTAATATAACTTTTTATTTTTATAACTTTATAAAATATTTATGATTAAATTTAAATTAATTTTTAAATATAAAATATTAATTTTTTCTATTGTTTGTTTATTTTTCTGTAATTTTTTTTTAAAAATTGAATTAACTAATAAAAAGGCTATTGAAACTATTTTTATTTTTTAATATTAATATATTTTTTTTTTTCGAGTATTATTAACAAATTATAAAAATCATCTATAATTTCAATTTTGAAAAATATATTAAAATTAGAAATAATTAATTTAAAAAAATGAAAATCGTTTTTGCCTTTTTTTTTTTTAAGATTTTTAAAAAAAAACTACAGAAAAAATGAAAAAACAATAAAAAAAATTGACTTTATATTTTATTTTATCTTTTAAAAAATTAGAATTATTAAAACATTTACATAATCTTCAAAAAACTACTTTATTAATAAATTTTCTCATAAAAATTACAATTTATAAAAAATATTTATTAATGTTATAACTTATTTTATTTAATTATTCAAACAAAATATATTAAACCCTATATATATTTATAATTTTTTATAAAAAAAAATTAAATTATTTCATTAAATATATAAAAAGTGTTTAATAATATTTGGAAAACATAAGTATTATTGTTAGACCAAATATTTCTAATGATAATAAAATATGTATAAACATTGATTAATTTATTAATGCACCGGCATATTAGTTTTTAATTCGGATAAAAATTATATTTTTATGTAACATTTTACATTTTATCATTTTATAATTTTACATATTTTTTATGTATTTAATAATATAAAAAACTAACCAACATTTTTTTAATTTAATTTTTTATAGAATTAAAAAAATGCAACAAGTAAAAATGTTAAATTTTATGGTACATTTTGCGTACCTATATTTATTTATTATTTAAAAAAATTTTCATCAATTTAAATCATCTAACAAAGCCAATTTAGCTTTGATAGAATCAATATAAAGATTATTTGCTTATTCTTAAACTTCTAAATTATTATTATGACTTAACTCCTTTAATTAAGCATTATGTTACATCCTAGTTGCGCTTTGAAGAATATATTAATATTTTTCCTATTTGGATAAATTAGGATCATATTTGTATTTTTCCCAGTCTTCAACTTTAACTTTAAATCCATTTTTTTATTCTAAGCTTTCTCTGTTTTGTCTTAACTATTAAATATAATTTGAGTATTATTTTTTAGGCATAAGTTTAGATTATTCTTTTTAATTATCAAAAAGTTATTATTAACTTTAATAATTTGTAATTAATTTTTTATTCAAAGATTTCTTTTTTTTTACTGGAGGATATTAATAAATCTTACTTTCGCTATTTTCCAAAACACTATTATTATTTGGTTCTAAGAAATGATTTAATTTAGGAGAATACTTTAGATGAGATTTATTGTTTAAAAATATATTTTAATAAATTCTGTTTTTTTTAGATAAATATTATGGAGGAGAATATTATTTCCTTAATGATTTTTTGCTTTGCTAATGCTAATTACTTACTTCAATTCCATTATTTTTTTTTTATTTGTATTATTATTAAACAGAATGAACCTCTTTAACTAATTTAGAATATTCATTTCTTCTTTCAATTTGCAATTTTTTTTTTGCTTGTTCTTAAACTTGCTTAAATTTTACTTCTTTATCAACTTTTAAAATTCTTTCAATTAATCTACTTTTCGGAAATTTATTTTAATCAATATCCAAAACTTACATTTCAGCCAATAAATTACTTTTCATTTATAATTTTCTCATTCTCATTTCATCATCATGTAATCTTTAATGAATTTTTATTTCATCAAGGTCCATCGGTTTATATAACTTTCTTTTTTCCGCTAGTTGCTTTTTTCGTTTTTCTAATTCAGGCAATTCCACTTCATAATAAAATTTTTCGTCTGGATTTTTATATTTTATTTCTTACTTTATTTCTTTTATTAATATATTTGATTATTAATCTGCTAAATATCTCTCTTTACTTTATAGCCTTTATTTTTCTATTTTATTAAGAATTTATTATCTTTTTTCTTCTTACATTTTGGCTTTTATTTCTAACTATTTTTAATGAGATTCTTTCATTTATCTTTCCAGCAACTTAAAGTATTATTCCTGCTATTGTTAAGATTTTAATTCTTTTTATTTACGGATTTTTTGCATTTTTTTAATTAATTTTTGGGCTTTTTATTTCTTTATTTCTTCTGAATCTTTTTCTTAATTTATTAATTCGATTTCGCATTCAATTTGTTTTAACTTGTCTTCTAATTCTACTTTCTTTTTTAAAGTTTACTCATATTTTTCCATAATTTAATGTATTTCTTTTTCATTATTATTTTCTATTTAATATGTTTTCTCAAATTATTAATTTTTGAATTTTATTTGAATTTCTTCTTCTTCTTTATTGTTTTCTCTTTCAGTCAAAAATATTTATTGTTGAATTTAAGTTTAATCTTCTTCTTTATTTTCGTTTTCATGAATTTAATTTGACATTTCTCCAAATTGTTTATTTTTTTGCTTTTCTTCCGAAATTTAAATTAACTTTTAAATAAATTTTAATGCATCTTATTTTGATTTTTAGATTATTTTTTCAGGAAAAGTTTCCATAAATTTTAATAAATAAGTTATCTTATTATTTATTTAAGGCATTGGCTAATTTTGATTTTCTTATTATTTTGTTACAAGAGAATGTTAAATACTTTCTTCTACATTTATTTTAGGTTATGTTTATTCAGATTCTATAACTTTTAAATATTAGTATTATTTGTTTACATATAGATTTTCATCTCTTTCGATTTGTTTACTTTAAAATGTGTTTTAATCATATTTACTCATTTTTCTTTTTTTATAATTATATATTTTAATAAAAAAAAACAGAAAATAAATAATAACTATTTTATTATAATATTATATACTTATATAATTATTTATTAAATAATTTAATGCATACATTTTTATTGAGAATTATATTTTATTATCTAAATAATTTAATTATTAATCTCCAAAAACAATATTAAATAATATATTAATTTTTAATATAATATAATATAATATAAATAATATAATTATAAAAGTTTTATATAAAAAAAGCATTATTAAAAAAATGAATTAAAATTATATAAAAATAATAACTAAATTAAACAAACTCCATAAATAAAATAGTTTAAAACATTCTTTAGATAATATGCACTAAATTTTGAAAGTAAAAAAATAAAAAAATAAAAAAAGTTAATAAAATATATAATTAAAATAAGCTATGTGGTAATCCTCACTAAAATATAAATTATATACATATAGCTGGAACAAATGGAAAAGGTTCAGTATGCTATAAAATATGTAAAGCATTAGAAAAAAACAATTACAATGTTGGAATGTACACATCACCTCATTTATTTTAATATACAGAGCGTATTTAAGTACAAATTTTTAAAAAATATATATAAAAAATAAAAGATAAATAGTAAAAATATAGAAAAAGAATAAATGTGCGACATTTTAGAATCATTATTTAAATTATCAGAATAAAACAATATAGATTTAACATTTTTCGAATATATAACTACATTAATGTTTTTGTACTATGAATAGTAAAAAGTAGATCTAGCAGTTTTAGAATGTGGTCTTGGAGGTTAATAAGATTCCACAAATGTAATTGAAAATACTTTGATAAGTATAATTACATCTATAGGATTTGATCATTGTTAAATATTAGGAAATACATTGTAAGAAATTGCTGAATAAAAAGCAGGAATTATAAAATCTAAAAATCCAATTGTTTTAGGTCCAAATTTATATCCTTTAGAAGTTTTTTTACAAAAATCAAAGTCTAATAAAATATATGTAGCAAAAGAAAATATACTTGATTATAATTAAGAAAACATGAATATTGCTAGATTAAGTTTAAGCGCTTTAAAAGAAAATTTTTATGTGTTTAGAAATTTAGATATGAATAAAGTAGAAGAAGGAATAAAATAAGAATCTAAATGCAGAATGGAGGAATTAGATAAAAACGTTTGTCCTTTATTTATCAAACCCTTTAAAATATTTTTTGATGTAAGCCATAATACTTAAGCAATTGTAATGTCTATTTATATTAAATATATGTGTTTTTATTTTTTAAAAAAAGGAAAAAGTACTTATTAGAATAAAACATATGTTTCCAAATAAAAGAATAAGAGCTGTTTATGGTACTTCAGAATAAAAAGATGCATCTGAAAGTATTATTTACTTGGCAAAAAATTGTACTAAGATTAATTTAATTTAAGCATTACATTTTAGAGCTATGAATATATAATTTTTGTAAAAATAAATTGAATTTTTAAAGTTTTCAATGCTTAATTTAAATGATGTTTTTGATTAGATTATCAATAATGGATGCGTAAAAAGTACTTTAGAACATATTCTTAATATTTCTAATTAAGATGAAATTATTTTAATTTGTGGCTCCTTCTTTATCTAAAAAGAAGCTAGAGAATTTTTTAATATTAAAGATGAAATAGATAATGATGAAATTTATTCTTTGAAATATTGAACTTTTAATATATTAAAAATAAATTAAAGCTAAACTAAAATATTTTAATAATTACTACATTTCTTTAACGATAAAAAATATTTAATTCCATAAAAAAAGAACATGATATAAGTTTTTTTTGACTAAAAAACTGTACTCATGCATATTTATGCTAAATATTCACCAGTATAATGTTTTTTTGACTAAAAAATTTATATAATAAACCTTCTTTTTTTGAAATTAAGCTACTTTTTTAAAAAAAAGAAATGAGATAATTATTATTATTTTTTCAATTTTATTAAATAATAATCAATATATATTTTATTTTAAATTGTTTTTATGATTTTTTTTTGTTTGCATAATAAAAGTAACTAATTAAAAATTATTATTACATTTATATTTAATATAATTGAAAAATTAATAATCAAATAATATATCTATATTAAAGATTAAAGTATAAGATTTAATATATAAATTAAATAAAACTAAAAATTTAAAGTTAGAAAATAAAAAATGGCAGAAAACAAATAAGATCCTTTAAAGATTAAATGTGTTATTGTAGGTGACGGAAGTGTAGGAAAAACTTGTATGCTAATGAGGTTTTTTAAATTTTAAATATAATTATTTAAAATAAAAAAATATTATAAATACTTATGATATTTCGTTTAAAATATAAATAAAAAATTATCATATTTTTTACTAAAAATAATATAAGTTTATAAAATTTATATCAAATATGTATGCTTTATTTTAATAAATAAGATTTATTAAATTGAAAAAAATAAAAAAAAAAAATAATTTTTTTTTAAAAGTTATACTGCAGATAAATTCCCAACAGATTACGTTCCTACAGTATTTGATAACTATACAGCTACAGTAGAAGTTGATGGAAAAATAGTGCATTTAGGGCTATGGTTTTATTTAAATTAAATCCATTATTTTTTCTTAAATTATTAAACATAAGGGATACTGCAGGATAAGAAGAATATAGTAGATTGAGACCATTATGTTATCCCTAATCTGATGTATTTATAATAGTATTTTCAGTCGTAGAACCTGCATCATTTGATAATGCTTTAAAAAAAGTATTTAATTAATTAAATCAGATATAATAAAAATTAAAATTTATATTAATATTAATTTATTAGTGGTATCCAGAATTGTAAGAAAATGTGAAAAATGCAATAAAAATTTTTGTTGGAAATAAAATAGATTTAAGAAACGATAATTAAATGATCTTAAACTAAGTGAATTCACCAATTACAAATAAAGCAGTAATTAAAAAAGGTTATATGTAAAAATATGAAATTAATTATTTATAAAGGCAAAATTAATAATATCTGAATTAGGATGTAAATATTTTGAATGCTCTGCTTTAACTTAAATAGGCCTAAAAGAAGTTTTTGATGAAGTAATAAAATCAGTTATGAAAGCGAAATCTAAACCTACCCCAAGAGCTGCAAGAGTCGGACCTTGTAATTTTATTTGAAAAATTATAAAATTTATCAATTCTTATGAAATGATTATTTTTTTATATATAAATAAAGTAAGTAAGTAATTATAGCTTTTTTATCTTATATATTTGCATAATTTGATTTATTTATAAAGATTTTATAAACTTTGTTAAAATATAAAAACATTCTTTACTATATACTATTTAATTTATACAGAATATAATATATATATACAAATAATTATTAAAATAGATCTAAAATATAAAATCTCATATATATTTTTTAATTTTATACGGATATTGTTTAATTATATATTTATAAAAAAAATGTTTAGAGATATTATTAAAAATTTAATAGATATAAATAATTAAAAAATTTAAAATTAATTTATTTTTATAATAAATTAAATTTTTTTATTTACTACTTCTTTATATATTGTTTTTTTTTATAATCTGTAATTTTTTTATATTAGCTTAATCAAAAAAATAAAAGGTCATTAATAGAATTTATAAATACTAAAATTAAATTTTTTAAGTTTATATAATTTATATGTTTTAATATTAAGATTTATTAAAAATATGTTTGTATATTTATTTAATTTTATTTTTTTCTCCTCTTTTTTTTCATCTAAATATATTTTTTTATTTAAAATAGGTTTTTAACTAAATAGCAATTTTTATCAATTTGGCTTGCATTACGCAATTAAGAAAATATATTTAAAGTTTATTAATTTTGTTTTGTTTCTTAAATTTATACTCACACTTTTTAATTATTAATTAATAGAAAATTTTGAATTTAGTAATTAAATTTTATATTTTTTATTATAAAATATAGGTATTAAGCATCTCATTTGTGTATTTTTAAAAAAATTCTTTTTAAATAGTTAAAAAGATTGTTATAAAAATTTATAGAAAAAACAAAAATTAGTTAAATAAAATGATAAACTTTAAAAAATTGTAAGTAAAAGTAATACTCAATCATTCAGATATCTTTGCTGTTTAATAACTTAGTAATTAATTATCTTAGTTAAATAAAATAAGGGAATTTTATAAAAGCACTAATCAATTGTTAGGTGATCAAAATATAGAAGAAACTATTAATTAATTTTTATTAAAAATTTCTTTTATAAATTATTTTAGAATAAAAAGATTAATAACACAAAATATTTTGTATAAAAGTATATAACTAACTTCGAAAATTCAGACTAGTATACATAACATATTTTAAATAGTAAGAATAATAGTAAAGCTTTAATAAAAACTCTCTTACAAAAGGTTTAATATCATTAATTTAAATATGAATAGCTAAGTAATTAATATAATAATTAAGATTTATTTGAAAGTATTAACTAATGAAAATCAATAATTTTAATTAAACTAAATAAATGACTTATTTTTAAAAATAATAAACTGAAACGCATAATATCAGCAAAAAAATACAGAATTTTTATGCATTTATTTTAATTATGTTTTTTATGTAAAAAAAATATTTTCTTTTGATTTTTTTATATTAAAAAGGGCTTTGTGAATTTTATTATAACGTAGAAAATTGTACAAAGTTATCTAAAAATATTAAATATATAAATTAATAAAAATAATATATTTTTTCAGCTATTTGATATTTTACTATAAAATAATTATATATTAAACATATTATTCTAAACTTCTTTATTTATTATTAAAAATAAAATACAAAATTCTAATAAAAAATTTGTATAATTAAAAAATAATAATTATATATAAATTAAATTAAAAGAAAAATATAATTATTTTTATAAATCTTTCATTTGAAAATATATTTATTTATTTTGAAGACATATTTGGTTTTAATATATAGAAATGAAATAATGATTTTATTAGAATATTTATTTTTTTATTATGTTATAAAGATTTGATATTTCTAATTTAATTATTAATTCAATTATTAAAATATTATATTATATTTTTGAATTTAATTTAATTAAAATTAAAAATAAAAAGATATTTAAAACTCTAAAACAATTAATGTTATTATTGAATAATTTTATTTAACTATTATTTGTTTTATTTTTTTGTTTATATATTTGTTATTTTAAACAACTTAATAAACTAAAAAATAACAAATAAAATTGATAATGTTAATATATATTTTTTGGTATTGTTTTTTAATAAAATAAAAAAATAAAATACTTAATAAATAAGTATATATATAATATTATATTTTAAATCATATATTTTATATAAAATTATTTAAAATATTAATCTATAAAATAAAAAATATATTTCCTATTAGATTCTTTAAGTATAAAAGTAAAAAGTATATATATATCAAATAATAGCTTTTTGATCTTATAAAACTTATAAAATTTTTATGTTTCTATTCTTAATATTTAAAATATGAATAAATTAATTAAACAAAAAAACTTTATTAATTAATATTACTTTATTTTTTGTGCTTAAACTCTTTTAATTAAAGCTTCTTTATATGTTAATTAGCCACAATTATTTATTTATTATATAATTTTATGTTCCTAATATTTAAACTTTAAATAATTTAAATCATCAAGCCATTGATTTTTTTCATACTAATTATTATGTTTATTAATTATATTTTTTTATTATTTTTAATTATTATTTAGAAAATCATCATCTTATTTATATTAACTATTTATGTTTTAAAATGCTATTTCCTAATTTAATATATTATTTCCAACATTTTCTAAATACTTGTTACTTTTTTTTTCTATAATTTGATTAGAAGACTATATATTTATATGCATATTATTCATTTGATTTAAAATATTATTTTTATTATATAAAGGAATCTAAAAAGGTTATTAATTTAAATTTTAAATATTATTATTAAAATAATTATTATTGTTTATATATTATTATTATTATTATTATTATTATTATTATTATTATTTTAATATTTAAAATATACATTATATTCATTTTACTTTTGGTTTTCTATTTTTTAGATATTAATATTTACATCATTTTTTTTTTTCTAATAATCATCATAATCATTATACTCATTATAATTTTAAATTTTATTTTCATTAGTATTTTATATTTATAATTTTTCATCTTCTTAAAATTTCATTTAATTTTTTTTATTTGGTTTTAAGTTTTAATAATTAAACATATTATCTTTCGCTTTTTATCTATTATAAATTTATTCATTATTTAATACCATAGTATTTTTAAACTTTTCAAAATCTTATTTAAATTCAATATTGTATTTCATATTTTAATTGTTTTTTTCTTCTTATTCTATAAATAATTTTCTAAAATCTTAAATGTTATGTTTGTCTAAAATAATTTTTTAACTTTATTTTTATATTGTTTAAATTATACTATTTTAGTTTTCAAAATACTATTTTTATTCATTTGCCCTGTTTATGAAATTCTATTTTTTTTTAAATAAGATATTATTAAAATTTTTATAATATAAAAGTTTCATATATAATTAATTTATGTCTAACATGTTCTTTAACATCAAATAATCCTTTAAATTTGTTGTAAAAATCTGTCATTAAAATATAAGATTCTATTTTTTAATAATTAATTTTTATTTATTTTAAAATTAAAAAAAAAAATATTTAATAATTGAAATTTTAAAAGTATATTAGCTTTATTATATATGTTATGTACAGAATTTTAAGTTAAGCAAATCTTAATTTTTATATAAATTATAAAATAAATTAATTAATATACTTCTAAATTATTTATCATTTGAAATTTAAAAATTTAAATAATTACATTATTATCTTACCTATAAAAACATACTTATTATATTTTATTTAATTTATGTATTATTTTTTCATAATATTTTATTTTTTACTGTAATTTATTTTAATAACCAAATCAAAATAAAAGTTAAGTTTAGAAAAACTAGATAATGGATTTTTTAGTTTATTAAGTTTATAAATAAAGTAATATGAACAAGTATTATTAAGTATATTAAAGTTTAATTAAAATGAGCTTTTAAAATTTAAGTTTATATATTCTTTAAAATTGAAAATTAAAATCTATTATTATAACTTTATTAAAATTATATAAGAGAAATAAAAAACTTTAAAGAACATAAATTTAAAACAGATAATAAAAATATAATGAAGTATTTTAATAGAAAAATTATTTTTAATTAGTTTTAATATTCATTTTATTAATAAGTATATATTATAAAAATCTTTTAAATTTATTAATTAAAATTATGTGAAAAAATTAAAATTAAAAGAAATATGCCTTTTTAAATAAGCAAATAAAAAAAAATTAAAAATTAAAAAAAAACTAAATATGGGTAACATATTAGAAAATAAAAGACAAGTTTTATACAGGCCTTAAAATTAATAATTATAATAAACAGAGATTAACTATTACCCAAATAACAAAACGGAATAGAATACTGCATAGATATACATGAATTTATTATAAGAAAATGATTAAGAAGATTAAGAAGAAGATATATTTTTTATATTAAAATGTATTGGAATGTTTATCCAATTTCTTTTACTTATTATAGTAGATATTTTATTATTTTATCCTTTATATACTATAATATCTTTATTTGTAATACTTTATGAACATAAAATAAATTTTATATCATTAATATATTACATAATAATAGATGTTTATTAATTGGCTTCAATATACGGTGTAGTATACAAAGCAGTAATAAAATTTGGAAAAGAAGACATATAGCATTTATGGTGCTAAACTTGTTTTTGGTTATTTTTAGTATTTTTGTTATTACAAGAGCTATCTTATTTAATTTATTTATCAAATAAATACAAAAAATTGCTTTTTTGGATGTCTTTTAGGGATTTTTTTAATAAACATAGGATTGTTCATTTTAAACTTTTTTAATATTCTTTTATAAGACCTCTTTTTGAAGAATATTCTAAAAATATTGAAAACACAGTTCAAATAAAAAGTATTGAAGATATTTAGTAAAAATAAAAAGGATTCTTTGATGAAATGCAAAATGAAAAAATGAGCGGATTACTAGAAACTATTTAGATAAAACTTTTCTATGAAGAAATCTACTTTTTTGAATATAAAAGTAATTTGGATTTGTCTTTTTTTTATTTTGATTTACTTAATAATGAATTTGAACTAAATAGAAATCTTATAAATGTTCAACAAGAAGATATATAAAATTTAAATATACTCGAAAAAATGCACTTCTAAGTATCTATGATAGGAATATATGTATTATTTTAAGCTTATTATAAAACAGTACTATCAATTTAAAAAATAAACGCTCCAATATATATAATAATAATACTTTTAGTTTTAAAAGTATTATTTCAAATTCTTATATTACTTTATAAAGAAATAAAAATAGACCTTTGTATAGTTTTGTGTTTATGTGGGTTTTATGTATACATGGCAAACGCTTGGTTTTTATATTTTGATAACCAAGATTTGTAAAGAAGAAAGAAAATATTGGAATATATTAATAATTTAATAAATGTAAATACAGAAAAAAAAGCTGAATTTAATAAAACTATAAAATGTGAATTTAATAGAAAATTAGATATTACATGTACTTTAAGTATATAAAGTTGGGACAATTTAAGGCGAATTACATAATAATTAGAACTTAAAAATTCATAAAATGTAGAAGTTTCATATGCCTTTTTGGGTATATATTATATTTTTTTAATTCTAATTTGTACCTCTATTTATGGAGATTTTGATTTTATTATTTCTAAAGGATCTATATATGCGAATCCTCTTATAATTATTCATATCACTATAGATTTCTTAATTATTACTTTAGTATTTTTTGTAAGGATATGGGAAGGATAATAATTAAATGATATGTTCGATGACCAAATTAATCTTGTTTAGGATCTTGTGTGTATTTATTAAGATTTAATTTAGCATTACGATGTTTATTTCTGTGAAAAAGCTGTAATTAATTCTACATTATATTAAAAAATCATCAAAAAAATCAAAGATAAAGCAGTTTCATATGCTTTAGATAATGTTTCTCTTAATGGAGTGAAAGGAAATGTGGAAAATTTAGATGAAAAATCATTTGAGATTTAAATTATGATGAATAACCTAATGTGTCTCAAAAAAATAAAAAAATAAATTTGTCTTGATTATTAATTTTATTAATATAAATTTTTTAATATGATTAATTTAGGATTCTTTGAAACTCTTACAACGGTTTTTATTGGATTTGCTTCGATTTTCCCATTTGTTATAAGGAAATTAATTGAATTATTTTAAACAGTTTATGAAAATGTTAAATGATATTTTTTTATAAATAATTTAGAATTTTTATAAGTAAATAATAATAAATCTAATTTAAAAATTAATTAATATTTTTATATATATTTTATGCAATTTTATATTATATATAAAATTAAAAATTAATAAAAATAAATTAAAGATATATTAATTTTTATTTAATATAATAATTTTATCAATATATGAAATAATACTAATAAATTATAAAATATTTTAAATTAGTAAATGAAATGTATTAATTTAAATTATAAATATACATATATATATATATATATGTATATATAATATTATATATATATATATATTTTATTATATATATTTTTATTATAAATTTATTTATATAATTATTATATTATATTTATTATATTTTAATCTTTTTTTTTATATATTTTTTTTAATTATATCTATATATTTTGATATATGTTAATTTTTTTTTATTATATATATAATTGTTTATTCATATTTTTTATTTTTATTTTTCAAATAATATTTTTTTTTAAATATATATATTAAATATAATTAATATTCATAACTTATTATATTATTTATTTTTATTTAAAAATATAATAATTTTTTTATATATTTAGGTATCGAATTTTATATAACAAGTTATTATTTTTAAAATATTTCATAATTTTTTTTAAAAAAAAATATTTCGAATATAATTTTGTATATGGTTTTACTATTTTTTATATATAAATAATTAATTTCAATAATATTACTAGTACATTAATGATAAAGAATAACTATATTATTTATTATCTCAATTTTTTTTTTTTTTGTATCTTTATATAATTTTTTATTAGAATCTTATTGATTATCTTGATTATAATTTTTTTTCCTTTTACTACATATTATTTTAACTTATTTATTTATTTATTAATATAATTTATTATATTTTTATAAATATTTATAATATTTTTTTTTTTTTTTCTTTATTTTTTTTATAAAAAATATTATGGGTAATACTTTAACAGCATTAGAAATTAAATCTACAAAATTTATGAGTTTTAATTAAAATTCTAATTAAATATTATATATATATTAAAAAGCTGGCTCAGTAATAATTATAACTGGAGCTTCTGAAGGTATTGGAAAAGAGTTGGCTTTAAAATATGCATTAAGATAATCCCGGTTTTTTATAAAAAAATAAAAATATATTAAAATATAAATAATAAAATAGTATGCTATTATGCGCGAGAAATATAGAAAAATTAAAAGAAGTAAAAAGTTATGAAATAAATTAAACTAAAATAATTATATAATTTAATTTTTTTTTTATATCTTTAATAAAATAATATATAGGTTTAAAGCTTATGTAATCATTTAGGCGGTAGAACTTAAATATTTTAATGTGATGTAACAAATGAAGAATAATGCAAGTAAAAAAAAAGCATTAAATAATAATATTATTTTCTCAATCAAACTATTTATTTATTGACATAAATAAAAAATATCTTTTATTTTTAAAACTAATATAGATAAATGGTTGAATAATGCATAAATTATTTTCAAAAAATAGACTTGTTAGTACAAAAAATTTATATAATAAATAAAAAATAAAATTATAAAAAAGATTTTAAATGCAGGTGTAAATGCTCATTCTAAATTTATGGATTTTCAAGATTTAAAGGCTTTTAAACAAGTCATGGATACTAATTTTTATGGTTACGTATATCCTACAAGGTATTAAATTTTACAAAAAAATTATTTAAAAAAAAAAGATACGCACTTCCATACTTAGTAAAGACAAAAGGATAAATAGTAGTTTTATCTTCTTTATCTGGAGAAATCGGTTTACCTTATAAATCAGCTTATTGTAGTAGCAAATTTGCAGTAACAGGCTTTTTTGAATCTTTAAGAACAGAATTAAAAGATAAAAGCGTTGATATTACAATTATTTGTCCTCCTTCTGTAAATTTTTATTTATTTTTTTTAATTATAAAACTAAAGGTAAAAACTAATTTGAGAGATAATGATTTAATACAAAAATACAAAACATAATAAATGGACGAAACAGATGATCGAATGAATGTAGAAGATTGTGCAAAAATTATTGTTTTTGCTTCTGATAAAAGGGCAAGAAAAGTAAGATATTTTAATTTTATATAATTTATTAATTATAGGTATTTTTTCCTTTTAAGGCTTATATGTCAGCTTATATGAGGCCTATTTTCCCAGATTATGTTGATAATAAGATTTTAAAATTATCGAAGTTTTGAAGGTAAATAATATAAAATAATAAAACATAAACTTTAATTAAGCACAATTAATATTTGATTACATTATTTTACTCGATAAATAATTTATAAAAAAATATTAATATAAATAATTTTAAAAAATTAAATGAAGAAAAATATTGTAAAATTCATTTTATCTTTTAATAAATTATATATTTATTTCTAAATAAAAAACAAATTATAAATAAAAATATGTAAAAATAATTTTTTAAAAATATATAATAAATAAATATATTCTAAAGGAAATTTATAAAAATAAATTACAGAAAGATATTTAAAAACATAATTTCGAAATATAATTAGATAAAAATAAATTAATAATTAATATTAAAAAAATTATTAATGACTATAATATGATAAAAATATTTATATTTTTATTATATAATAAATATTATTTTTATTAATATTATTATTATTATTATTTCTATTATTATTATTATTATTATTATTATTATTATTATTATTTATATTTTTTTAAATTTTTTTTTATTATTTTTAAAATAATTTATTATTATTTATTTACTATTTTATTCAATATAATTTATATAATTTCTTTTTTACTTTTATTTTAATATTTTTAATTGTAAATTTTCTTTTTTTTAAAAACAAATTATATAATTAAAAATAAATATATTTTTCATATTATTTATCTTTTAAAAATTATTTCTTTTTATTAAAATTATTAAAATATTATTTTAATTAATATAATAAATAAATATTTTTTTTCTTTAAATATAAAAATTAAAATTATGAATAATTATAAAATTAAAATTTTGTTTTCTTTTTAAAAAACTTAAATTTTATATATACAAAATATATATAATACATATTTAAAAAAAATATTTATTAAAAACAAAATAAAATAAAAAAAAATTTTAATAAAAATTGATAATTTTATCTAAAATATTATAAGAAATATTTTAATAAATATTTACTATAATTTATATTATATTTTAGTTTTATTTTATCTTTATTAAGATTATAATTTTAATGTTTATTTATATATATTAACTTAATAAATATTTACTATAATTTAATTATATTTAGTTTAATTTATCTTTAATTTAATTTAATTTAATTTATTTTTTATAAATTATTATTTATTTATTTTCATCATTTAATATAAAATAAATAATAATTAAAATATATATGTTAAATAGAAAAAGTTAATCCGTCCCTTTTTATAATCCTATTTAATTTAATGATATAAAAAATTATAATGTAAGTGTTAATTTTTTTGAAAACGTTATTAAAAAAAAGAAGGTTTAAGCAAATTAAAATTAATTAGATTATATTAAATTGGATGATAAAAAAATATTTGTTTAACCAAAATTTATGAGAAATTTCGGATCTATGTGTATAACAGAATTATGGTTAAATGATATGAAAAAAGACTTAATTAAAATAAATAAATATGATGTTAAAGATTCAAGAAATTTAAGAATGCATAAAATAGATAAATAATTTATGTCTGTTTACAAACCTTAATATTAAAAAGATAGTATAAATACATATAAGAAAATTTTAGATGATAAAATGAAAATGTAATTAAGCAAATTTAATCCAGAAAATATTGTTTAAAATTATGGTTTGAAAGGTGAACTACTTTTAAATAGAAATTATTACTTGAGAACTTTAAACAATAGTAGAATTTAAAAGTAAAGCAATAATAATATTAAAATTAAAATTTTATAATAATGTGATGACTTTTTAATATAAAATGCAATACTATAAAAAAACGTTGATAATACATATCGTATTATTGAAAAAAATTAAAAAAATTTATTAATAGGCAAGCTGAAATAATTTTATTCTTATCAAAATTAAAGGTTTTAAGCTTAATTTTTTTTAAATTTAACTATTTCCACTTTTTTATTATTTTCATATCTCTGCATATTAATTTTGCAATCGGAGGAGTTATATTAAAATATCTTTTTTTATAATTTTTTTATTTATTTTTATACAAACAGAATTAAAAAAGCAATATTTAATATTAATATAATTTATATAAAATCTAATAATTGTAAAATTATCAAATAAACAAGATACAAATATTATAAATTATATTAAAAATATTTTTAATAAAATCATTATTATTTTTATTAATACCAGGAAGGAATTAACTTTGGAATAATATTTGGTTAAGTTAGTATTTCCTCTTTTTAAATAATAATAAATATAGATTATAAATATATCATCATATATATATATATATACCATTAGTAAAATTAAAAAATCCTATAAATTTGGATTATTTTCATAAATTTTCTTATTTCTTAACTCATTAAAATAAGGATGTAATAAAACTTCTAATGGTTAGGGCCTTTCTTATGGAGAGTAAATTAAAACTCTTGAAACTAAATCAATAAAATCTTTATCAATATTTTTTATTTTTTCAAATACCTATTAAAAATAAAAAATAAATTATTAAAATAAAAGAACTATATATTTAATAAATATATGTTCATTTTAAAAGGAAATTACTTTGCTCCAAGGATGACATCTAATTTAAGGAAATTTGTATTCTTTGTATTCAGGATTCATATGCCTAATTTATTCTTATGTAGGTGTTCCTATAATTTTAATTATTCTAACCAATTAATCAACAGCATTATCTCCAGGGAATATTGGTTCTCCTAAAACCATTTCTACAAGTACACACCCTGTATTAATTATACTTATATAAAACAAAAAGAATTGTTATACCCATGGACCATAAATCTACCTATGTAGTATACTATTCTGCTTTAAATATAAGTTCTGGTGCTCTATAGTATCTAGAACATATATAAGAAATATTTTATTCACCTATTTTTATTTTTTCTAGTATGTGAATATTTAAAAAATATTTTTAAATACCTTTTACTAAAACTTTTGCAGAACCAAAATCACATATTTTCAGCATTAAACTATTAGGATCTATAAGGATATTCTAAGGTTTTATATCTCTATGACATATCCCTAACCCTTTCAAATATGCTAAACCTCTAAACATTTAGTAAGCATAAATTTTTATGTGTAAATCAGGTAATTATTTTTATTATTTTTTATAATTTCTTATCAATTTCGAAAGTGTTTCTGGTATAAAATCCATAACTAAATTTAAATAGGTGTCATCCTTCTTAAATATTATTATTTTTTATTAAAATTCCAGTTATACATTTATTTTATTTAAATAATATTTTTTTTTTTGAAATTAATGTTTTAAATATTTTGATTATTGAAATTAAATACAATAAAATAACTTTTTCATCATCCTTTGTCAAAAAAGAATATCTTAATTTTATGATATTTTAATGGTTTAGAATTTTTATAATTTCAGCTTCTCTATTTTTATATCTAGCATCCTAAAATACTTTTTTTATTGCCACTTTTTCTCCATTTGTTAATGTTGACTATTTAATTTATTTTATAAAATAAATAATAAATTAAAAATTAAATCATAGTTATAATCGTGATTTAAAATTAAACCATATAAACAACTCCAAATGTACCATTTCCTATTATTTCTTTTAGTTCTAAATTATTTTCTTTTGTCTTTTTTTAGTTTTTAATTTGTAGATTTACGTTTTTTTAGTAAAAAAAGCAAATACATTTATTTAATCAATAATATTATCTTTTTTTGGTCTTCTTATTTTTGATAATTCATTGAATTATTTTCTTAAATGTTAATAATATAAAAAACTTTTATTTAATTTATTTATTTATGAAAAATGTTAAAATATATTTTTTTTAAATTTATATTTTCCTGTTTAGTTGATATGTAAAGAAAAAAAAACTTTAATTTATATGAACAAAAAGTTTCATTTAAATAAAATTAAGTAATTAAGATAAATATATTTAATAATTTTGATTATTTTAAATGTAAAATAATTATAAAAGGTTAATAATAATAAATATTATTATTATATTTTACATTTGCATATTACATTTATATATTAAGTAATATAATAAATCTAATTTTAGAAATTTAAATATTTCTTTTATTAATTACTAATGTATACAAAATATAAATATATATATATATATATATATATATATATATATATATATATATATATTGTCAATTAAATCTTTCAAAAATATGAATTATTTATTTCTCAATATCATAATATAATATAAAAATTAAACTATTTGCTATTTATCTTAATTTAATAAAAAATTAAAATTTTATACATTTTCTTGAAATTTTATTAATATCAATTTATATATATATATTTATATTTTTTTAAATATTATTTTCCTTTTAATTATAACACTTATTTTTATTCTAAATAAAATATTTTTTTAATTATAAAATATAAAATTGATATAAATACAAAAATTAATAAACATAAATAAAATCTAAAATAATAAATATTTTATATATAGATAAAGAGTTTATAGTTAAAATTAAAAATATAATATACATGGTGTCATTAAATTAAAATATTTAAAAGCATCTTAATACAAAATAATTTCTATTAAAATTTATAAACTGCGTTAAATAAAATATTAATTAAATAAATTTAAACAATAAATAAATGATTAAATAAAAAAGTTATAGCTATCATTTTGCAATAAAATAAAAATAAAAATAATAATAATTAAATAAAGAAATTTAAAGCATTCACTAATAATCTTCTTTATTACCATAAATTAATTCGAAATCTAATTTAAAAATTCCAAAAATTAGTTAAAAAAGCATACTTACTACTAAAATTAATTTAACACACGAAACATCTGTAAGTACAAATCAACCCTATACAACATAGAAAGAATAAATAGATACGATTAATATTGATTATTAAACAAATTAAATCAAAAACTCGAAATTAAAGCTTCAATGTATAAGCAATTACTAAAAATCTTAAGAAAACAATTAATAATAGTTAAGTACATTCTATTGTTTATAGTCTTTATATGGCCAATTAATTTCATTAATAAAACAAACAGACGTATAAAAATAAGAATTATATAATGTATTAAATAAAATAATGGAATAATCATTAAAAATATAAGAATACATTGAAATAAATTCTCAAAATTATATCATTTTTGCTTATTTAGCTTCTGACTTAGGAGATTATTAAAAAGCAATTTTTTTACTTAAAGAACATAGAATATATTGCAATATTTAAAAATGCTATCTTTAAAAGCTGAAATCATATCGGATTATTTCAGAAATTTATAGTGCCTTTGGAAATTACAATAAAGCTATTATTCATTTGAAAAAAATGCTTAAGCTTGCCTGGAAATTAAATAATGAAGAATATGAAATTAATGCTTATGATTTATTAGGAAAATATATTGTTTTTACAGGAGATGTTGAGTTGGCTAGTTATTTTCACTAAAAAGCAATGAAAAATTCTAAAGAGTTACATACTTCTTCAATAAGATAAGTAGGTAAATTATAAATAATTAAATTTTCTGATAAATAATTATAATTGTATCCATTTTTTAATTAAATAAAGGAGAACTTACTTTAAAACTAAGAAATAATTAAATAAATAATATATATAAAACTAATAGATATCAAACAGAAAGTGAAGATGATTTAGATTTAGAAACTTTTTAAAAAATTGATCTATAAAATTTTGCTCATAACAAAATTTTTAATTAAAAAAAATTATGTTCAGAAAGAATACCTAAATTTATTTCTAATTATACTAGAAAATAAAAATCTTTAGGTAGAATAGATATTCCTGAATATTGGAAAAAGCTGTAAGAGCCAAAATATAGAATTTGTAGATTATAACATTTAAGTATTAATAGAGATTTAAAAAACTTTTATATGTTTTCTCATATTAATCAAAAATATTGGATTAAAGATGGAGATGTTATAAATTAATTAAAATATTACCTTTTATCAAAAAATTAGACAAAGAGAATATAACAAATATAATAAATATAAAAGAATGTTTCCAGTATAATTTAAAATTTTTCTAATAATTAATAAAATGCTTTCTTTATTTTTGATTTATAAAAATGATTTAAATAAAAGCATTTAGAAAAAAAAAAAATATAAATAGTTATTTTATATCTATAAAACTAAAAAAATAGTTTTATTAACTTTTTTTCATTTAAGTAAAATTATTAGAATTATGCATATAGAAATCAATATAACAACACCAATCAAAATTAAAATTTTTTTTTTGCTACAAAAAATATTATTTACTTATTCATTTTTTAAATTATATTTAGCAATTGATTCTGATTAAATTTCAATATTTTATATATTATATTTATTATCAACTTCTATTAATTTTTATGTTTTCTCTTAATCGGCTTCTTTTTTATACAATTATTAAGAATACCTGAATATTTAACTAATTTAATGTAACCTTTATTCGAATCCTATATAATTTATTTAAAAATAAATATGATTAATTATAGTGAGATTCATTTTTAACTTTTTAAAATAAAAGAATATAATTACTAAATATTTTATTTTCTTCACTATCCTCTTAATAAATTGATGTTTTTTTGCTTTTATAAGTACTTTTGATATATTATGATTTATCTTCATGTATATCTTAAAAACGTGATGAATTAAGAGATGCTTAATAATCAATATAACTTTCATTTTCTATGTGAGGTAGATTGATATCCTAACTATTTATATCACTTATTCTAAAATATAATGCGTTCGAACTATTTTGGTTAGAAATTTATGTGTTAGAATTTTATGTTATATTTGCTTTCGACATTCTAATTTTTTTCTTTTCTTATTATAACATATAAAGTTAAATTTATTAAATTTAATCAAATAAAAGTAAAAACTCATTTCTTAGTTTATGTAAAGCAATGCTTTTTTATATATTTTTAGAAGATTCATCAAAATATAGTTTCAGTTTTAATAATTCTTGATAAAATTAATCAAAATTCTTATTTTTTTGATTTTTAATTAATAATACTTTTTTATTACTTTTTCTGAATCAATAGATAATGATTCATTATTTTAAATCGCTTAAGCTAATATTATAAATAATATTTTATTTTATTTTATTTATTTAAATTTATAATTTATTTTTAATTTTTTTATGGTTACTATACTATTATTTGATGCTCTCATATTAAGTTTATATTTAAATTAATTATTATTAAACTTATTTTATAACTTCAGTCATTTATTAAAAAAAAAAAAATAAGATTAATAATATATTATATTAATTTTTTTTTATATTAAAAAAGATTAAATAAAACACGAAAAATATTAAACTAAATATAAATATAAATAAGGTAAAAATAAAAGATCTATTCAAAAAAATTAAAAATAATTATATATTTATTACAAACAAAAGTCTTTTAAAAAATATGGATTATCAATAACAATATTATAAATTATTTCTATAATCAAATCTTTATCAAATAAATATTTAATCCCCTATTTACCGATCAGAAGTAACAATAATTCCAAACCCTAAAACAAAATAAGAAAAAACTTAAATAATTCAAGAAATTAAATAAAAATTAAAATTAACATTAAAAACGACTGCATAACTATTTGTTTAAATAAATAAGGACACAATAGATTAATAATCTTCATTAAAGTATAGATTATATACAAATACACAAATAATTTTATCTGAAGTAAAATAAACATATTTAGATTATCAAATACAAATATTTAATGATTCAGAATAACCTATAGTTTAATCACAAGAAGAAAAAATTTAAATATTAGAAAAGTTATAAAAAGAGCTTTTTGCTTGTATTGAATTTTAAGAATATAAAAATAGCTATTATAATCCTTTAGATCCTCCAAATGCTGCATTAAGCAAAAATAAAGGTTAAATATATTAAACATTCATGTGGAAAGGCTTTCGACCTAAAATAGTGGATTTTAAAAATAAAATTTGCTTATAATTAGATACTACTCCTTTACGAATTATGAGATTATCAATTTATGATTTAATAAAAAAAATGCAAGATGATGAATATTCAAATGAAGATATTCGGAATTTTTTGATTGGAAAAGAAATAAAAACCGAATATTTTGTTCCAAACAATATATTTTATAAAATAGAAGACATTAGTTTTGATATTAAGCCTTAAGATACTTTTATTCTAGAGAACAAAAATGGATAAAAGGTTTAATTTGAAGAATATATAAAAAAGAAATATCAAATTAATATAAGAATTAAAGATTAACCAATGTTAAAATGTAAAGGAAAAGCAAAAAATAAAGTTTATTTAATACCTAGCCTATGCAATTTAATAGGAAATATTTCTTAAAAAGGTATAATAGACGAGCATTTAGGCTTGACTTTTTATTCAGATGCTTTTGATTCATTTAAATATTTACAAGATTTCAATTTTTAGTTTTTATAAAATAATTAATAATTTAAAGAATTGTTAAAAATTTGGAGTATTTAAATATAAGATTAATGTGAAAATATAGGATTTAACTATTTAAGACCATTAAATTTATTAATGAAAAATAACGAAGAAAAATCTCTTTCGGAATTAATTTGTAAAAGAAATGTTTCTGATTTTGACTATAATTATAAGGCAGTTTTCGATGTTGGCTTTTTTAGGTTTTCTGAAGTCAAAAATTGGGTAATTTTTGTTTTATAAGAAGATCTTCCTTTAAGTGAAGTACTTTGTCAAACGATTTCTTAATATAAATAATATTTCTTATACGATATTACTGAACCTAAATATATAGTTTTAAAAAATACAAAAAAAAATCAGAACTTTTAGAAGAAATTGATAAAAATCTTCAAAATATAAAACCTATATTTGTTCTTATAATATTCAATTAAAGTATGGATACTCACTTTTTTTATAGACAATGTAAAATATTGGTTACTTGTTAACATTCTATTCCTTGTTAAGTAATTAAAGCAAATACTTTAAAGTCCTATGTTGGAAATAATATGGATACTTTTGCAATTAGATTTCTTGCTTAAATGTAAGCTAAATTAGGAGAATCACCTTGGTAAGTGAAGAATCTTCCTTTTTATGAAACTCCTACAACTATGATTGGAATAAGTGTATTAAAATAAAAGTTTTCAAAGAAAATTATAATCGCAGCTTCGTTTTCTATAACAAAATAATTCTCCAAATATTCTAGCATATTCAGAATTATAAATAATTAAAATGATTAAAATGAAGTTCTTCAAGCAATCTAGAAGAAAGTAAAAGATATTGTAAATGAAGCTAGTAATGAATTTTAAATTATTCATAAAGTAAAGCCTTAATGGATTATTTTACTGAGAGATGGAGATTATTTACATAATACAGAAAATGAAGTTACTTGTTTATTACCTTTGACTAAAATTAATTAATAAAATCTTATTTTTGTCACTAGTAAATATTCTACTGGTTTTAGAGCTTTTAATGTTACTGGATAACAAGGATAAGAAAATAGATAAAGTGTTAATAATCCTGGTACAGGTGCTATAATAGAAAAAAACTTTAGCAAAAAGCAATTTTTTATATTTACTTAAAAATAAGTAAGCAATTGTCCTTTTTCAATTCTTTATAGTGTTTTATACTATGATAAACATTAAAGGAAAGATGATGCTTAGCTTTTAAACGATTTGCAAGATCTTATTTATAATAGTGTATTTCTTAATTTCACTTTTCATACAAAAAGCATATCACCAGCTTGTCTTTAAAATGCTTATAAATTAGCTGAATTTATCAAAATGTGTGGAGATATTGACTTTACTAACGTTATAAAGCTCTGTCTTGATGGAAAATTATTTTTTATATGAATTTTTATTTATAATAAATAAAATGTATTTTTATAATTTAAATATTATTTATTTTAATGAAAAATAGTTTTTATGATTATTCTATTTTTTTAAAAACAATGTTTAATTCATTATTATATAATTTTTTTATATGAAAATTTTTTAATTATAAATATATTTTAAGTATTCATTAATTAAAACTAAATAAATCTAAAACACTTTTTTCTTAAAATTTCGACTTAATCAAATTCAAATTAAAAAATTTTATATTAGATATTAATTAGAAAAAAAATTTATTTTAAATAAAATTTTTTAATAAACATTTTGTAAATAAATTTACAATGAAATTTTGTAATATTTATCATATTATTATTTTACTAATTATTATTATGATTGTATTAACCAAATTAAACTAAATTGTTTAAAAATATATACATATATACCTGGATCTTTTATTAAAATTTAAATATTAAAAAAACTTAATAAAAGTAAATTTTACAGAAATAATTAAATTATTTTATAATGGATAAATTAAATTATTTTATAATGGATAATAATTTTTATTGTATATGTCTAATAATTATTTTGTATTTATGTATTTTTTTAAAAATAATGAAATTAAATAATCTAAATTGTTATCAATTATAAAATATCATTTTACAATTAAAAATAAATTTATTTTATTATATTTATATTTATTTCTTGTTTATATTATATTTATATTTATTTTTAAAAATTGAATCAAAAAAAAAATATCTTTACCTATTTTTTCACGGTTGTTTATGTTGTAAAATTAGTTTTTAAAATAAATTACAGAAATAAAATAAAATACATATTATAAATTCAACTAAATATTTTATTATTACTTAATTTCATATAAATATATTAAACATATACTAAATAGTAATTCAATAAATGCTAAACATTTATTAACTTCTAATTTAGTCCTATAGATTATACATTGCAGATTATTCAAAATCATGATTAAATCTTGATGTAAATTCATTATTGTTATAGAAGTCATTATTACTTTAAGGTTATAATTGTTTCAAATTATCTTATTTTTATATATTATTGAAGGATGAATTTTAATTATTTTATTAAAAAATTTTTAAAAGCCTTATGAAATAGAATATTAGCTTAAAGAAATTTAACATTATTAACTTTCTGCTGTTACTTTTTACTAAACATTATATAAGTTTTCGACAAGCTATTTAATTTCTTATTTCAAAATTTAAATTATATTATTTTTATTATTCAACTCTTATTCAAAGAATTTTAATTTTTCAAATTAGTAATAATTAATTTAAGGTTAAATAGATGAACATAAAATATTCTAATTATCGTCTATGATTTCTTTTTCTTTTTGTAAAATTTCATGTTTTAAATTTTCTTCTTGAATTAAACTTTCTTATCTTTGTAAATTATGAAGATCATCAATATAAAGCTCGTACTTTTTTATTTATTCTTCATAGTTTTATTTTAAGTTAATAATTTTTTATTCATTTAATGCTAAAATTTATTTGATTTACATATCCTTTTATACTAAATTTTTTTGTAATTGAAGTTATTCTTATTTTTCTTTTTATTGTTGTTATTCGTACATTTATTTTATTTGCGTTTCTAATTATTTTTTTTCATTTTGAAGGTTAATTATTTATTTTTCTTATTCGTGTTGAATATTGGAAAACTTTAACTATTGTTAATACAAACTTTTATTTAGCTCCTAATTCTTTTTTATTTTTGTTTATAATTTATAAAAAATACTTTTGAAATATTTTACCTCATTTTAAATTCTGACTATTTATTCTTAAACTTTTATCTTATTTATCTCTGCGTCTTTATCCATTTGTTCTAATAGGAATTTTATCTCCTTAGTTTATTCTTTCTTTATTATTATTTTTAACTTTATTATTATTTTTATATTTATATTACTTTTCCCCGTTTTTCATAATTGTTTAGTTATGATAAAGTTTCCATGTATGTTTCATTCATTTTTATTAAATTCTATTCTCTTTATTTTTAATCTGATATTTAAAGTTCTAAAAGTTCTATTTTTTGCTCTAAAATTGCTTTTTCTTTTATCCATTAATTTTCTTTATTTTTTATCTTTTTATATTATCATTTATTGTTTTATTTCACTTTATTTTTTATTTTACTTATATTTTAAATTCTTCCATTATCTTTTTGATTTGAAAATAACAGTTTAAAATTTAAAATAGTTAATATTTCTTAACACAAAAATATAATTTGTCATTGTTATTTAAAAAAAAAAAAAAATTAAAAATTTAGAAATGTATGGGAAATAAATATAAAATAATTAATTTATCATCAAACAAATATAATACGGACAGTTGGCAAATCTTCTAAAATCTCATTTTATCCAATAAGTGTAAAAGTAATAGTTAAATCTACATAATCTAAAATATCATCATTATCATCAACCTATTAATTAATAAATAAATTTTAATTAATAAATAATTACAATAAGGTCTTTAATTTTCTTTTATAAGATATTTTAATTGTCACCCATTAATTTAGAAAAGATAAGTTTTTAACCAAAAAGTACACTATAAGGTTAAATTTATTTTTCTTTTTAAATTAATTAAAGTAATTAAGAAAGAGTCATTTAATCTGTAACTTGGAAATTCCATCTTTCCCATAGATCAATTTCTAATAAAGAGTTAATTTTTTTCTTTTTAGCTTAACCTGGTTCACTAACTGATATAATAGGCACAGCTAAATTAAGAAAAGAATTTCTCATTAAGGTTTTTTTATTTTACATATATTTAATAAACTCAATAACTTAAAGCCCTGCTATAGAAGCTGTTGTAGAAGCTAATGCAGGAACAATTTTACCAGCTTTTATTTTACAAGTAAACCAATTCATCTCAGGTAAGGAATAACTATTTGCCCTTAAATTTGTTAAAGAATAAATAAAATCTATGTGTATTTTATTATCTTTTTCAAAATCTATATTTTGAATTTTAAACACATTTTCTTTATCTAATGTATCTTTTAATTATTCTATTATAATGCTTTATTCTTCTAAAGTTTTTGTAAATTTTTTTGTGTTTTTATCATCTTCATTTAACTCTTCTTGTTGTTCTTCTTCTTTTTACACTTCTTTTTTCTCTTCTTTTTATTCTTCTTTTTATTATTTTATTTATCCTTCTTTTTCTTCTATAAAAATATTTTACTTTTTTAATTAATCTTCAATAAATTAAATATTAGCTTTTTCATCATCTCCCTATTTAATATTAAAGAGTTAGGCATATAATGCAGAAAAAGATTGGATAAAATATAAATGAAACTAATTTTTTAAATTTAGGCAATTTATTTCATTAGGAATACGTTTTGGGGGTTTCCAGAAATATTAATTATCTTTAGTTTTATGGTTTTTAGGATATTATTGTAATAATTTTATAATATCTAATCGGAAATATTTCTAAAACTTTTAAATACCTTTTTAAAGACAATCTTCCCAATTTTTCGGTTTATTTTTTAGAATTTTCAAGCTTACATAGGGTAATTTTTAGTCTTCATCATTTTTAAGATTTTGAATAAATCCATTTTTGTCAGAAATATATTGTCTTAATACTTTTTCGGCTTTTTTAGGTTTTAAACTAAATATCTTCGAAAATTTATCACGAGCCCATTCTAAACAATGTATTGTATCTTCTGGGAACATTTTTAACGTGCAATAAGGAATATCTGTATTATTATCTTCTTAAGGATCCGCTTAACTAGAATAAGATTCTGTTAAATAAGGTATTATAACCTTTTTATTTTTTTATTAATAAAAAAATAATATACTTAAAATTAATAAAAAAATATACTTAAACATGTCCTTTAGGACCTAAAGTTCCAGACTCTAATAAAGGTATTCGGGTTATAACACAACGAGAATCTACATATTTTCGAGCTTAAACATTATCTAGAGCATTAGCAACAATATTTTGCTATTCAAAGAATTTATCAGTAAAAATGTTTTTGGTGTTTTCTTCTAATTTTTCTGTTTTTGCTATTACATGTCCTTTTAAATTCGGATTTATTTAAATTACAGCAGCTTAGGCGGTTAAAGATTTTGATTTTTTAATATGTTTTTCTCTGAATAAAAATTAACGGTTCAAATTTGAATTCTCAATATAATCAGGATCTGTAATTGTTAATGTACCTTCTATACAAGCATTTATCATTGCAAAATTTTTTAATAATTCACAACCAATAGCTCCACAGCCAACCATAAAAACTTTAGATTATTTAATTTTTTAATATGCTTATTTTCCTATAATTATTTCTAAAGGATTTTTAATATTGCTATTATTATCATCTTGCTCTTTTTTTTCTTCATCTTATTTTTCCTCGTGTATTAATTCACAGAAATCCATATAAAATAATTATTTAGTAGGCATAAATTTATTTGTTATTGCTTTAAAAATTTCTTAAGTAGTAAATCCTCCAACAAATGCACACTATTATAAATTTATTATTTATAAAAAAAAAAAAAAAAAATACTAAAGGAGGTAAAACACCAGATAATGTTTAGGAAAACAAATTTAAAAATTAAAGAGTTTTTTTACATAAATCTGTATCGTTTTCTTAAACTTTTTTAACGTATTTTTATTTATAAATTTAAATAAATTTATAAGCATCATCTTTGTTCCATGCTTAGGGCAACCTTTTATTCATTTAAAAAAATATATCTAAACATAAAAAGGCTTAATGCAAAATATGCAAATTATCGATTTTTTCAAAGTCATAAAATTTCAAAGAATCATCAAAAGGTATTTCATTTTCATTTTCTATATTAAAAAGTACATTTTTTAAATGTTTAAATTTCAATAAAATAGGTTTTTTAACTTTAATAATTGAATAAATATTTTGTTTATATTAATTATTATTTTAATTAGGATGTAATATTAAAGAATTATGGTTTAAAACACTAATTTTATGTAAATTTTCTTCTTAAAAACTATAATTTTAATATTTCAAAGCTTCTTTTTCATCTAAAATAGCAACATAATCTCCATCTTCGAAGTTATGTTTTTAATTTAAATGCACAGTTTGTTAATTATTTTCTCCTATAAATATTTACTTGACATTATATAATTATGTTTCTTCTCCATCTTTATCTAAAACTTCAAAAGAATCACCAAAATCATTAAAAAAGAAAACAAAAGTACCTAAAATAAACACAGAAATAAATTTAATTCCAAATTTTCTGCAAATAGCATTTATTTTTATTTAAATTTCGAAAGGAATAAATTCAGTAATCAAAAGAACATCATAGTCTTGAAATTTAAATTTTTTTTCTAAATCAGTATTATCGTTTAGTTCTTCAGTATTTTTTTCTAATTCAACATAAGTATTTAATTATTAAAGTTTATTAAAACAACTATCAACGCGTTTTCTTTATTCAATTAAATCTTTTTCTGTTATAAAGAATTAGCCGAATAAATCTTCCTTTTAGACTTTCTTAGAATCTTGGATAGTAAGCTTTTTAACTCCACTAAGTATTATATTTTTAGCAATTTCTACTCCTAGAGGACCTAAACCAATTTAAAAAACAGAACTTTTTGATTGCTTATTTACTGAGTCTACACCCATAGCACAAATATATCTACTCCATCTATCTTTTACATTTTCATCATTTATATCTAAAAAATTTTTAATTGTATTTTCCTGATCTTCATATTCTACGTCTATTTCTTCCTCTTATTCTTATTGTTAATTTTTTTAAGTTATATTTTTGCTTTTTTTTATTTATTTTTTGGATTCTTATGTTGTCTCTTTTTGTGGAACAGTTGTTTTGGGAGAAGGTATTTAATTTAAAGTTTTATTTAATTATGTCACTAATTCTATAAGCATTTCTTTGTATTTATTTGGTTAACTGAACTCTTAACACCATAAAGTGTTATGACCATAAACTAAGCCTGTATAGTTTACATCATTTGATTCGGCTTAAGCAATCCACTAATTAACTTCTGATAGAATTTCATTTTTTTTAATATAAAAATGCCTTTATATGACCTTTATGTTTTGTTAAATATTTTTTTCTTTTTTAAATAAAATACATCTTCAAAACCTTTGGGAGGATTTAAAATTTAGTCAATCATAGCAAATTTGATATTGCAATATTTTACAATATTTTAATATGCTCTATTTTTTTTTTCACCTTCATCACTTCCAGCTTACCCTTCGAAACCTGGTTCGTTAAAATAGACATCTTCAGTCATAATGATAGCCTGTAAACTTAACAAAACTTATAAAAGAGTACTTATTTTAGGATCCCAATTTTCACTAGCATTCCCTCTCCATGTTCCTAATAAAGATAAACAAACTTTTCCACAACTATATAAATTAGGGTTAAATCTAACTTTTGATTCCCCAGTAGTGACAAGGGTTACTTTTGGTGGTGTTTAAGGATAAGTATCTTCAAAAAATACATCATAAAGGAAAGCTCCATGTCCATAAGGAGTACCTGATGATCCAGTAATAAGGACTTTCAAAAGATCAACTCTTAGATTATCACATCTAACAAAAATGCTATTGGTGATATCAATTGGCAGGCTATTGTACATATCGGAAAGTTCTTATGCAAGTCTTACAATTTTTTATTGAGAAGGATTGTTATTTTAGCTTATATAAGAGGAATAAAAATGTTTATAATTATTTTCATATTTCATGCTCATATATCCGAATCTGAGAGGGGCAAGAAACTTTTTGTATTATTCTGAAGGACTTAATTATAGATCAAAAAAATTATTATTTTCATTTTTTTTCTAAAAATTTTATTAATTTTCTTCAACTTTTTTTAAGTGTATATAAAGTTCTTCTGTTTTTATTGCGATTTAATATGTTTCTTCATCTGATTTCTTTTTTTCTTTTGGCAAACATTAAAGAAATATGTCAGCCGTATTTTTCAATTAAGAGATTAAAGTAAAAATACTTTAAGTTTATAAAGGAATATATTAATCTCCTAAATCAAAAAGTAATGAAACTAAATTCTAATGTGTTGAAAAAACCTTAATAATTCTTAAATAAGTAAAAAAAAGTTCACTTTCTTTAGAAATATCTAATAAAGAGCCACTTCTTAAAGCACTTTCAATTAAAGGTAAAAGACTACTTTAGCAAATAATATCGAAAAATTCATGCGAAGGGTTCAAAAATTGTTTATTGTCTAGAGAAAACTCTAAAATAACCAAGAGTTATAGAAGCTATTCAGATCTATTTTATTTAGCTTCTACGTATTCGTTAATATTCCATTTTTGATTATTATGATTTGCATCAGATGCATATCCAATACCTGATTTTGCTTATATTTTTTATTGAATTTATATTTCTTCTTCTTAAGTTTGATTTTATTATTATTGTATATTATGCTATTTTTCTTCTTCCTATTATTTTTATTTTTTTTATCTAGGATTTTCTTTTGATATCTATTAGATTCTATTTAGAATTGGTCTAAAAAAGTCATTAGATAGTTAAGAAGGATGTTTTTATAATACTTCTTGCAGTATTTTATACAAACTCTTTACAATTTTTTCTTCTTTTTCTTCTAAAAAATTACCGTTTTCTGATTCATTTAAATTACATTTATTTGGGGTTACTTTTTATTCTTTTTTTGATGAATTGAAAATATCTAATGCTTTACTAGTTGTATTTACTAATTAAAGATTATTAATATTATTTAATGAGGCATCTTATTATATTTATTTTCTATCTTGATTTATAGCTAATAAATCTAAAAGAACTTCAAGAAGATATTCATTTTATATAAAACTATGCATAAAATCTTTTATTTGAGCAAATTCATTTAATTCTTAAATAAAAAGTATCCACTTATTAGCCTTTTCTTGATTTTCCCATTCCAATAATCTTTTTTCAGCAACCTTAATAATTTCTTTAATTCCTTCAAATTTTTCAAAACATTAAAATATAGGATAATCTTCTTTTTCGTTTAAGATAGAAGGTACTTATTAAATTGACTAAGTTTCAAATAATTAAGAAATATCCAAAAAAACATCAATAATCCCATTTTATTAAGTATTTTTGAAATTCATGATTTATTCATTACTATTTATATTCACTTATTGGTCGTTTATTTGTAAACTTAATTCTTCTTTTCGTTTTAATTACATTCCTTAAATTTTGACGTTTTTTACAATTTGAGATATTTTAGTATTTGCATTTATATAATAAATAGGGTTAATTCTATATAATTTATGTAAATTGTTTTCTTCGAGAAGTTTATTTTTATCAAATACAAATAGTTTGTCGCTAAAATCACATTTTTAAAATGAGCTTTCTCTATTTGTTTTTTTGTCTAATATTCCTTTACCTATATCTTATTTTAATGTATAATATTCAGCTTTTTCGAATAAGAAATCTGCTGGAACATCGTGTGGAAAATTACTTTAATCTTTATCTATAGGCTATTTTTTAATAATATATTGATATTATTATTATTTTTTTAATAAAATTAATTACTTTCATATCATATAAATTAATATCGACATAACTCTAAGAATTAAAATTAAAACAAAGAGTAATTCGATCTATTTTATTATATTTGAAAGACAAAGAAGCTCCAAAATCATCAGAAAAAGAAAAATTACCCCATTAATCTCCTTGAGCATTAAAATGCATTTCATAATTATCTTCATAATAAAAAATGAAGCAATCATCTTCTTTTGGAATTACATAGTTTTCTTCATTAGCAAAATCTCCAGATATTTCAGCACAAGGCTGCATTCCTTATGAAGAAAAAACTCCACAAACACATTTATTTCCTGCATTAGACCCTTAGATAATAATAACAAAAGGTGCATTTGTTAATACTTTTTTTTTTAAAGGTTGAACTAGAGCCTCCATACTATCTTAATTCTAAGAAAGTGTCAGTATCCATTCTTGATTACGTAGAACTTTATAAAGTCCGCTTTTTTCAGTAAGGTCTTTAATTGTTTAAGAAAATATGTCATTTTATCTATTAGATAATAAAGAAGAAGATATTTTGCATAAAGAATTGTTATTATTTTAAATGTTGAAATTATTAAGTTTATTGTTTCCAAGAATTTTGATTAAGGTCTTGTTTTCGAATACCCACGTTGAAGAGATAGAATCAAATACATGAAAGGAAATAAGAAGAACATTCATAGATTTTAAAAAAGGAAGGAAAAATTTACTAATAAATTCATTTTCTTAATAATAAATAATATCTTTTTTCATAATTTTAATTAATTTTTCTTTCTCTTAATCATTTTCAATTACACATTTCTTCATAAATTCTACTAATAATGAATAGTTTATGTTACTTTATTTTGATTTTTCTAGATACTTTTTATATATTTTTATATGAAATTCCTCTTTTAATATTATTTGTTCCTTTATTTCACAATTTTCTATTAAGGAAACTAATATATTCAATAAGCTATTCGTTTATGAATATTTATTATTTATCCCAGTGTATTTTTGGTGTTTTTCTATTATTTCTTCAATGATTTTTTCTCTTTTAAACCATTCAAAACATTATTTTTTGCCTCCTTTTATAATTACGCTTATAACATCGTATAATTCAGGATTTAGTTCTGCATTTTGCCATAGATAATTAAGTGTCTATTCCATTATTTCGACGTTTTTTTCAATTGAAATACATGATGGCAAATCCAATAAATTAATAATAAATTTGATTAAGCTTTTATTACACAAAAATTACTGATTTTCGAAAATTTGAAATATTTAGTAAATTAAATCGAAAGATTAAACTAAAGTTTTGTTTATTTTTTATTTTTCTAATTTGCTTTTAGTATTTAAAAATCTAATAATATTAACAAATGCATGCAAATAATTTTAAATATTGACGAGGTTTTCTTTTTTCCTGATTATAAAATCAAATAATTTAACTAAACGATTAATTAGTAATTCAGTACTTTATGAATTAATTATTATTAACATTATTAATTATGAATAAATTTCCTAGCATGAAAACTACTCTTCTTACAGACAATAAGAAATTAAAAATTCACCGAAATCTTAAAATTTAGAGCTTAAGAAAATTAAAAAAGGCATTAATTCTTAGTCATAATCAGGTAAGAAAGCAAATATAAGTCCAACTTTTTCCCTTACTTATTAAACTATATAATCCAAATTTATATTTTATAAATTTTCTTGATCTATGAAAAAAAAAAAAATACATATATATAAATAAAAATTATTTATATTGTTAAAATAAAATTACTGCATATTTCTCCAATTAAAAAGAAAGCAGTTTGAATAAAGCTTTAATTAATAATTTATTTATTTATTTATTTAGAAAATGAATTTTATGGGAATCCTACAATAGATAAAAAAGAAATAGAGATAGCCAAATTTTAGAACATTTTGTTGGCCAAAAGAGACAAATCTTCAACAAAGCAAACATTAGGTCTAAAAATTCTAAATTTAATAAATTAAATTTCGGGTAGATTTGCCTAAGAATCCTTCCATATGTTTTTCCCGAAGACCTTTACTCCAAAATTGGTATATCCTTCATCTTCCATATTAGAAAGTTTACCAAAACATTATAAAGTATGTTAAAATTTGCCCATTTCGATAATAATTTAAGAAGGGCTTCCTACTATTTTATCACTGTAATCAGCCCAAAAAGTATTAAAACCAATTCTTATTTTTTTTGGGAAAACTATTCTATCAAGTTTTACTAAAATAGATATTTCATCATAAAATTTATCGTTCATTGTATGAAAAAGGATGTTATTTTTTACTCCCTTTTTATTTATTGTCCAATCCATATATTAGGATTATATATAAGAAAATTATTACCCTTCTAAAGGCAAAAGATTTACTTTTTGACAACATTCTTCTTCATTTGGAATCATTATTTGGTCTTAATTGTATATTTTGTGTCCTTATATCATGTTAATTATATTTTCTAATCCTTTAATTTCAACAAGGAAATATTAGCGAATGTCAAAGGATGTCTAAGACCAAAATAGAAGAATTAGTTATTCGAAATTTTTATTTATTTTTGTTAATAAAAATACTTTATGTAAATTGACTTTTCCTTTTTCTAAAAAAGTCATATTTTAGTGCGTTTGAATGAGTACTTTTAAAAATCTTTAGGTCAATTTCGGATTATATTCAATTATTTAAATAAATAGTTTTCTTAAGTTTTCACACAGGTTTCTGAAGTTAATAATTGAAGGAGAACTATGCTAATATAAAGTAATATTATTATTTATATTATTATTATTATTAATATTTTAGTTTTCATCTTAAGTTTAATTTTTTAAATACCAACTTATTATTTCTTATAAAATTCCCTCATTTATTCCTTGTTCGGATTTTATTAATTCCACAATTCCTAAATTATTATTTGTTGTATAAATGTTTATTATTAATTCACTTTATAATTATCCTATTATTATTTTATCGTTTGTTTCTTAATCCGACATTTATATACTTTCTAATCCTAAAAAATTTAAATTCTAAAGAAGATATTTGCTAATTATGGTAAGAAGATTTTGCATTCCTTCAATGTTGGTTCTTCCTAAACCTTAAGAAGATTATTTTAGTTATGAAGACTTTAATGAGGGACATTCTAATTATTTATATTAATTATATGAATAAGATTATAAAGGATATTAAAATAAGATTTAAGATTGTGCTTAACTTTACTATTGTATTTTTTAGGTTTATTATTATTATAGTGTTTATTGTTGTTAAATATATTAAGGAGTTATTAAAATATTTATATAACCCTAAATTATATTTTTATTATATTTTTTTAATGGATCTAAATTAAGAATTTATTAAATTATAATATTATTACAAAATTCGCACTACTATTAAGAATTTAATTATATCATTACATTTTGAGCTATTTTTATTATTTCTTAGCATAACATTGCTTTTTAATTCTCATTTTAAATATTGAAAAATAGGTCTTATATTTAAATAAAGTACTCTAGAATTTTTTAATCTTTTGTTTAAGATAAAATCTAAGATATTTACATAAAAAGCTATATATTTTCATTAGATAAAGAATATTGATTTATTAAAAATTATATAAAAGATGGGAATAGTATTGCTTTGTATATATCTTTGCAAATTGATATATATGTTTTTACATTTTATATTTCTATATCTGTATTAGTATAATTGCTTTATAAAACTTAATCTTAGTTTTTATCAAATAATTATTATAACTCTTCAATATTTTCACTATTTTTTCTAGAAGAAGTGGAGTTTTTTCTATTTAAACCTAACATTTTTCTTTTTTAAGTTTACTTTAGTAAAAACATATTTCTTAAGAATTTTTATATCTAAATAAAATTGTAAATAAATAATAAAATATGAAAATTATAATTAAAAAATAAATATACCTTTTCAAAAGCATTAATAATATAATTAACCCAAAATAAGTTCAAAGGATTTTATATTTATTTTTATAAATAAAATTTCTAAATATAGAACAATATAATTAAACTATTTTCCATATCATTTTCTTCTTCTTCCTAATCATATATATATTTTTTTTAAAAAAAAAAATGATATAAATTAATTACGTTTTATAATATATTAATAAATAAATCAAGAATAGTTTCCAATTTTTATTCAATAGTCAAATTACTAAAAGAAATATCTAAAATTTTAAAAAAGCTTAAAGATCCATCAGAATTTTATTGAAAAAGAAATAAAAAGACATTTCTTAGTTAATTTTTGTCAGCTTTTGAAATAATTTTAATCAAAAAATCAAACAAATATGCAATAATATCATCATCTACTTAATTTTAAATTGCTAAAAAGCATATTTAGTAGACTATAAATGCGCTTTATTCAAAATTAGAATTAATTAAATGCTAGAAGTTATCGTTTTAATTTAAAATAGATATATAATAATTGAAAAAGCATTCATTTTCAATTAATTTTTTATTTTAAATTTATATTAAAAAATATTCAAGAACATTAAAGCTATTTTTTCCAACTAAATCTTTCACATTATCTATAAATTTCACCTGTTATTATTAATTCGCCATTAAATTTGAATTAATTAATTCATTTAAAAAATAATTAAACTGATCTTTATCCATAAAAAAGCACACAAAATTAATTAAAAATGGTTTAATTTTTGTTTATAATTCAACATAATCATCTTAAAAAAAAGCCGTAAAAATAGTTTTGGTTAATAATACCTTATCAAAAGTAAATATAGATTAATCTTCAGTTACAAAATTTTAAATAGAATTAAAAAAAAGTGCAATAGATGACATTAAATTGGCATAAAATTCTATATTATTATTTTTTTCTTCATCTGAAAATTCAAAATTTTTAATTTTTTAGGATAAAAAGATGCACATTTTTTTAATTTTTTCCTCATCATTTTTATTGCCTTATTATAAAGCGAAAATCAATTTTTTTTGAATTTTTTCTAAATCATCTCCGTATATAATTTCTTCCTCTATTAAACACGTATCTTCTTTCCATTCAATTTTTTAAAAATCAATTTTTTAATTATTCAGAATTAATTTTTCATTTATAGATTTAGATTTTGTTTAAACTTTTTTTTAGCCATTTATTAAAGGCGTTATTTATAATAATTATGCTTGCTTTATTTCATTCATTTAAGGGCAGTATGCTAAAAACCCTAAATAAATTTAAACAATTAGAAATCTAGATGAAAAAGGTTTGAAGTTTTAGATTCCTAACATATGTACTTTTTTTTATAAATGAGTTAAGTGTATATTTTCCTCATAAGATAAATTAACAAGCTAATTAAGGACACAAGTATTATAATCATTTATATATTTAATTTTTTTTCTACCGTTTTAATTAAGTTTATATATTTGAATATTCATTCTAGCTGCACAAGGTTGGTTGACTTTTTCAAAAAGCAAATAAATTTTATTTATCGTGTATTTTTGTTCTAAATCAATTATAAAAAATAAACTATTTGAATCTTTTTCTGTAATTTTATGAAGTCCAAAATTTTATATGAAGAAAATTTTGTTTTCTTTTTCATTTTTCTTAATAGTTTTTTTTTCCAAAATAAAGTCGTATATTTAGAAATTATTTCTTAAAATTTTATATATTTTTTGTTTTTCATTATTTGTATATTTATAGCATATATTTTCAATTATTTTTATTAAATTTGGAACTATGTTCATTAAAAAATCTTTATTTTGTTAAAATATTTGATTATAAGAATTCAAAAAAGCAAACAAATTTTCATATTTAACTAAAAGAATTTCATATAAATTGTTTATAAAAACTTTTTCGATTTTTTCTTTTAAAATATTGCTTTTTTCCATTAAAAAAAATAATAATTTTAAAAAAAAATTATTCCAATATTCTGCAGTCCCGCAAATATTAAATTTAATTATTATTTCTTTCAAAAACAAATCCTTTTTACCAAAAAAACTGGCTTCTTCATCTTCATCAAAAATTAATCCTTTTTATTCTTTTCTTTTTAAAGTTTCAATTATAATTTTTATTAAAACTTATTTTTTTTCCCAATTTTCTTCTTATCCTAATTCTTCAATTAAACTTTTTATTATTCCATCATTTTTTACATCTTAATATTCCTTTTATTATATAATTTTTTCATTTCGTTCATTTTCTTCCCAAATTTCTACAATAAAGCTTCCTTTTGTATTAATATTTATTTCTTCGCAACCTTTTTAGTTAAATATATCACTTTAAATATCAATTTAAACCCCCTGTTATAAAAAACTATCACTTTTAAATATGAAATCAGGAGCAATTTAATATGATATCTACAAATTATCAAAATTTAATTCCTAAAACTAATTTTAACCACAAAATTTAGCCGAAATATTTACCAAAAATTCTTTTTAATTAGGAGGCAAATATATTTTATTACATAATTCATCATTTAAATCCTATAAAGTACAATAATCATCATCCAACTCTAGCCCTTAAACACCGAAATACTAAATTTCAATTAATTATTTATCAAAAAATTCCGAATAGTCATTAGGAAAAACTCTAAAATTAGTAGGCAATAAATGAACATATTTGCCTTAAACTATTCTATCCATTTATACTTTTATGCTTTCTTTTCCATCTTCGAACATAAAAAAGCCTATTGGATCTTCTCTTTTAAAATAACCATTTTTCTTTTCCTTCCAGATAGAATACTCTTTCAAATTTTTAA